AATGCCGCCAAAAACATATACAAATGTCATCATTCTGTTGCAAAATCTCTGTTTTTTTTGTGAAACACATGGTTTGAAGGATTGTATAAATTTACTATTTCATATGAATAATTGTATATAAATCCAATCTCATGGGAGGTATCCTTTCCTTTTTCCTTTCCTTTTTCCTTTCCTTTTTCCTTTCCTTTTTCCTTTCCTTTTTCCTTTCCTTTCTCCTTTCCTTTCTCCTTTCCTTTCTCCTTTCCTTTCTCCTTTCCTTTCTCCTTTCCTTTCTCCTTTCCTTTCTCCTTTCCTTTCCTTTCCTTTCCTTTCCTTTCCTTTCCTTTCCTCCTTTCCTTTCCTTTCCTCCTTTCTCCCTTTCTCCTTTCCTTTCTCCTTTCCTTTCTCCTTTCCTTTCTCCTTTCCTTTCTCCTTTCCTTTCTCCTTTCCTTTCTCCTTTCCTTTCTCCTTTCCTTTCTCCTTTCCTTTCTCCTTTCCTTTTTCCTTTCCTTTCAACCAGACGGTTTTACACTTAGAATGCTGCCAAAAATGTTACACATAGAATGCGTCCAAGGGTTTTCGGGGCATGTGGTTTATGATTTTTGCTGATTTCCACATGAATTATGCTTTCCTTGACGAATTTTGTCCCTCCTGGCTGCATTTGTAACACTTAGAATGCCACACTTTCTTTCTCCTTTCCTTTCTCCTTTCCTTTCTCCTTTCCTTTCTCCTTTCCTTTCTCCTTTCCTTTCTCCTTTCCTTTCCTTTTTCCTTTCCTTTTTCCTTTCCTTTTTCCTTTCCTTTTTCCTTTCCTTTTTCCTTTCCCCTTTCCTTTCTCCTTTCCTTTCTCCTTTCCTTTCTCCTTTCCTTTCTCCTTTCCTTTCTCCTTTCCTTTCTCCTGTCCTTTCTCCCCTTTCCCCTCTCCCCTTTCCTTTCTCCTTTCCTTTCTCCTTTCCTTTCTCCTTTCCTTTCTCCTTTCCTTTCTCCTTTCCTTTCTCCTTTCCTTTCTCCTCTCCTTTCTCCTCTCCTTTCTCCCCTTTCTCCTTTCCTTTCTCCTTTCCTTTCTCCTTTCCTTTCTCCTTTCCTTTCTCCTTTCCTTTCTCCTTTCCTTTCTCATTTCCTTTCTCCTTTCCTTTCTCCTTTCCTTTCTCCTTTCCTTTCTCCTTTCCTTTCTCCTTTCCTTTCTCCTTTCCTTTCCTTTTTCCTTTCTTTTTTCCTTTCCCCTTTCCTTTCTCCTTTCCTTTCTCCTTTCCTTTCTCCTTTCCTTTCTCCTTTCCTTTCTCCTTTCCTTTCTCCTTTCTTTTTTCCTTTCCTTTCTCCTTTCCTTTCTCCTTTCCTTTCTCCTTTCCTTTCTCCTTTCCTTTCTCCTTTCCTTTCTCCTTTCCTTTCTCCTTTCTTTTTTCCTTTCCTTTTTCCTTTCCTTTCAACCAGACGGTTTTACACTTAGAATGCTGCCAAAAATGTTACACATAGAATGCGTCCACGGGTTTTGGGTGCATGGGTTGTATGATTTTTGCTGATTTCCACATGAATTATGCTTTCCTTGACGATTTTTGTCCCTCCCGGCTGCATTTGTAACACTTAGAATGCCACACCAATCCTTTCCTCTTTCCTTTCCTCTTTCCTTTCCTTTTTTCTTTCCTTTTTCCTTTCCTGTTTCCTTCCCTTTGTCCTGTCCTTTGTCCTTTCCTTTTTCCTTTCCTTTTTCCTTTCCTTTTTCCTTTCCTTTTTCATTTCCTTTTTCCTTTCCTTTTTCCTTTCCTTTTTCCTTTCCTTTGTCCTTTCCTTGTTCCTTTCCTTTCTCCTTTCCTTTCTCCTTTCATTTTTCCTTTCCTTTTTCCTTTCCTTTTTCCTTTCCTTTTTGCTTTCCTTTTTGCTTTCCGTTTTCCTTTCCTTTCTCCTTTCCTTTCTCCTTTCCTTTCTCCTTTCCTTTCTCCTTTCCTTTCTCCTTTCCTTTCTCCTTTCCTTTCCTGTCTCCTTTCCTTTCTCCTGAAACTCACAAATGCGATTTAGGGAACAACAACTAGCATATTCACACCAGAACAGGGGATTGTATAATAAATTTTATATACCATCAAGACTTTAAGTCTATATCTCTAATAGCAACGGACTGAAACTTAGAATGCCTTGGACCAAAAAAATATTGAAAGGGTCTCCAAATATGGCGATAATCATGCGCACTTAGAATGCCTCATAAAGTCCAGCTCGCAGGTTTGATTGTTTTAGCGATGGAGGCATTCCAAGTGAGGCCAAAAAAAGGCATTCTAAGTGGCACCGTTAAAAATCTTAACAAACATGGCGGCATTCTAAGTTTCAGTCCGTCGCTATAGATATGTTTATGTCTAAATAATATATATATATATATAGAGAGAGAGAGTCTTTGCTGACGACCCGTCAGTAGTTGCCAGGTCAAATGCCGGAGGTTGTATGCCCGCGTCCAGACAAACATTTAGTGATAGTTAGTAATTTAGTCTCTTGTTCAATCAGCTTCACAAAGTGTGCCCGTACAGTAGTCACTCTCAGTCTCTGACACTGGCAAGCTGCCGGAGGCCTTGGCAAACAATGGTGCTTCTTCCGCAGTGCATCCAATGATTCGTTTCTCGCCGGGAAGTCAACCCCATCCCATTTGCTGTCATGGGAAACTCAAGCACCTGAGCTGGAGTTCCCGGGGCCATGGTGGTCCCCTTAAGGGTCCCCTTAAGGCTTGGTGCGGAGGACATGGGCGGAGCGCGTTTGGGAGACACTGAGCGATCCCAACTCCTCCCGACCTTGGCTGCAAGGGGATGGGAGAAATGCTGACAAACTTCAGTGGCCTTGAACATGGGCTGCTATATGATTGCCATATAGCATGACCTTAGGGCTTGTCAGGGCTTATCTACTGCTTGGAGGATCGAGGGGCTTATTAAGAGGTTTCAAGCATATATTCATATAATTACACGGAACTCGCATACTACAGCTCCCCCCTTAACCTTCCATTGATCTCAGGACTGGCATGGGCAATTTCCTGGGCCCTTCAGCTCTTGGTTCTGCTGAGTGTTTCCTTGGACTATGCCGCACTCATTGATAAAGCGAATAGCCGTCTCTTGGCGCCGGTCACCAGCTTCTGGTGATAATGTATCATTTTACCCGGGATAATCTGGCATCACGTCCGCAATCTGGCCGGTGGTGTCAAAATACTTGTCCTAAAAAGTGTGTTCACTTGGGTCAAGTATATATTCCAGAATGCAAATTATGTTGTAACAACATCGTATTTGTTTTTTGGTGGGCTTGACCAAGCAGCTTGATGTTGATGACAGTAACTTCACCGGACAAGGCTTCATGGCCTGCGCAAAAAGGCCATGAACTTTGTGATTTCGGTGGTACATGTATCCCCTACAATCCCATCCCCCGTTCAAATTAAACACATTTAAACACTATTTAAACACTCCCATTCTATGGTCCCAAATATGCGTAAATCCTTTACTCGTGCTTTCTGCGGGGTGTTGATTATGGGGAGTTGGTGCCTCCAGGCATGGATGGCACTGCACTGCTTGTTTTCAATATCATGGTCGACGTCTTTTTCTTTGCTGAAGTGTGTCTTCGCAGCAAATCAGGGGGAAAAAGAAGCAGGGCCAGAAAAAAAATAAAAAAGCATGAGAGATTTCGCTGGTTTGCATTCGCACTACTTGGAACTGTCCGGCCTCTCCTGGAAGTATCATGTCAATGTGCTTGCGGTAGACCAGCGGAAGACAGTGTCAACAGAGTGTCAACCGACCGATGCAGGGAATTACTTTCCATTTGTCGTCCTCAGCAGATTTGGTCAGAAGCCAGTTTTTTTCCTGGAGAAGGCTTCAGTAGTTGAATTTGGCAATTCAGAAACCCACCACATTCCAAAAGCAAATCATCAGCATTCATCAGCAAAATGCAGATGTTCCATGCAGTTTTGCTGCGGCAACGTTTAACAATTATGATCAGTAGGTGTGCCATCACCATGATACCCATATATAATATATATTAATATATAAGTATATATAAGTAATTTATAAAGAAGCTTTTAAATACATATATATTTATATACATTATTTGTTATATACACAATATACATAATATACATAATATACATAATATACATAATATACATAATATACATAATATACATAATATACATAATATACATATGCACACATCAAGAAATCATGATATCGCTGAAGATTCCGCCAAAATCGTAAGGCTTCTGCGGCTGGTCGCTACACCCTCCAAGGTGGGATCGCCTCTAACGTGGTGCGATCCTAGCGGTTTACACGAATGATGTCATGTACTGTAACAACCTGTAACATGAATGAATATATATATATATATCATAATATAGCTAACTTGATATATCATAATGAAGCTATTCTGTGATATAAATCTATTTATTTTATATATATGTGTGTGTATGTGTGTGAAATCTATTTGCACGTACAAGTATACAGTATACGGTGTGCAGTATACACCACGTTTGACTTTTTGATCATAACTTGGGAATCCTCCTCTGTAGATCGGAGGTGCTTTTTGTTTTGCATTGACGTGTGTTGCACATCTACACACGACGGTAGAGATAGACACAACTGAATGTTGTTCTTTCTCCGGTTCCATAGGCTGTGTCATAGACTCTGAAGACTCGACCGTAAAGTGCAAGTCAAGAATGTCTAGCCAGAAACGCACTACTATTGACGACCTGCCTGAGTCCCACTCGCATTGATTCAAGTTTCGGCTGAAACGATGTTGGCATGGAGGGTTGTTCTAAGTTTCCTTATAGCAGGGTTACCCTCCTGGCCAGGGCTGGCACAAGCATTGCACTTGTTCACGCTCAGGGACGCACTGAGCAAATATGGGGCCCAATCATCAATCAACTGCTATGATTTGCGGTTTCAACATGTTTCAAGTTATTTCTTCTTAATTGGGCCAGTACATAGCCCAACTCAGTATGTTCATTGGGCTTCCAGGTCCGACCCGGCATGTTGTTGTGATTCGGCTCCAGCCGTTGGAAAACCCTGCCGATGGCGTCCCGTGCCCTTCGCATCCCGCTTCTTTTGTTTCTGGCACAAGGCCAAAATGATGATGTTCTTATGGATGGGACTCTTCCGGCCTGCCATTTGCTGCAGACCAAAATCCATTTGCAGAGCAACAAAATCACCAAAGAGAAAGAAACCCAAAGAACCAATGAGCCGAACTTCAGCGTGGATTTCCCCTTCTTTGAGCCGAATGTCACGCCCAACGTGACCCTTGGTATTTGTTTACCAAACGTCACTAGCCAGGAAGCTGCGCAACCCATCGCCGACGTGGTCGCTCACTATGGCGGAGATGGCTATTGCACCTTCGGCTTCGCAGGCTACTGGGCCAGCGGATGTGCCATTACCCGCCGAGAACAAAGTGCCCTTTACTATGCAACGCAGTTCAATGCCTACTACACCGCCGTGTTGACTCCGACGTGGGCAACACCCTTTACGTTGCAACTCTTTGATGGGCGGACTGTGGCCATCCGTAATCGCAACTATCCACTCGACACTGGGTGTGACTTTTGTAGGATAGGATCAGTTGGATTGCTGTTGGGAAAGACTAGTCTGATGAGGTTTGATCTTCCCATCCCTTGATTTTCATCAAATGACAACTGTTCAAGCCGAGTGGCTTAAGCCAACAGCACCGCCAAATTATGCAAACATATTTCAAATTGTTCTATGTTTATTAAGCACAATGTTCTTGGGTCTTTCATTTGTTTGCAACGAAGAGCCGAACCACAAACAAGAAACACCAGAGAGAGAGAGAGCGAGAGAGAGAGATGAAACAAAGTCACAGCATGAAGTTATTCCCAGGATGACTTGTATTGCTATGTCAATGGATGGTACTCTTTCAAGAACCGAGCTCAAGTGGTGAACAACTTCACGTACTTGGAAGAGATTTCGGACACTTGGTGCACGCATCTGGCGAACATCGTGCCAGGCGGGCTCATATTATAGAATTTTATAGAATATTTGTTTTATTTTGTGAGCCGTGAGCAATACCCCGTTTAATGGGTTAAATAAAGGTGGTTGTATCCTAGCTACTTTATTGTGGGTTGTTATAACACATCCCCGCAGATAGGACACTGTACCAGCCCACCAGTACAATGGGATGGGATGCATGTCAATCTCATTAGTTCTCAAGTTTTGAAAATTGAATCCAGAATGAGGGCAGGTCATTGGCTTTTGATCTACCTGGACTTGAGTTGACATTTTTCAAACATAAGCTTTCTCACATCCCCTTCAAGATAAGATGGTTGGTTCCCCGGCCCAACAACTGATTTCCAAAAAGAGAGAGCCAGGATTTAGCAGTATTTCTTTGAAAGACTTTGCCAAAGAGTCGAATGGTGATGAAGAGTTTCTGGAAAATCTCATGAAGCATGGCGCCAGCTCGGGGCATGTGCCCAAATCCGTGGTGGATGGCATGTACCTGCACGCGGCCGTGAAATGCCTACTGCGTGGACCGAAGGGCGGCGCGGTGTGTGATATTGCAGATTGCGCCGCCCAAGGCTGCTTTGCAGAGTCAAGCAATGAACTTCTCTACACCGTGAGGGGCGAATGTGAAAGTGTGACCGTGAAGTAAGTTGCAAGAAAAAGAAATCCGTCACACCACAAGCCCATTAAGATCCCGTTCGGATCCATTCAGCCAAGGTGAGAAAAGGCATTTCAAGTGTGAATTGAAGTGTTTCCCAGAAAAGCCCTAAGGAATGTACAAAGTATCTGTGGTTGGAAATAGTTGTATTAATTATTTTTTTGATTTGATGTGCGACAGTGCTGACCCAACAAAGACGAACAAGAGGGGACTGAGGTAACAGCACCAATGATGGAAGCACTTCTGAGAGAAATGATGCTCTTGGTCTTGCACCCCCCTCTTCACTTTAAGAGTACCATCTACTTTGCTTTGTGCGGGTAACTAGTTGTAGATTTTCCATGGTTTTCCGTCTTTGCTGATTGTGAGTTGCATTGCGGTGCATACAAGATGATTGATGCGCCCTATATATACTTCCCTGCTTTCCGAACAATTTGACCCATGTGGGCACGGTTTAAACCCAGGCACCCCAAAATGATATCAAGAACGGACCATCATCCGTCATTCTACGTTTCTTGTATGTTTGCTGTTTGCATGAGAGGAGGAAAAAAGGACAGAGACACCAGATCTGACCCATGTCCAGTTGTTGTGTCTTAGCCTTGGCAGGCGAATTACATCAAAGATCCTCTGAACTGGGCCGATTTGCTTGCTGCATGTGCGCTGCCCTTCCGCTTCGTTGCGCTTGTCACCACGTCGGAGGTTTGGACGTGGGAAAGGACGTGGGGCTGCGGCGTGTCGGAAGATTTGGCCACTGGCTCCGGAAAGTGCTGTGTTGATAGTGGCGATCCCCAACTAGAGATGAACATGGAGGTGGACAACTGTTTGGCAGGGTGAGATGTTGTAAGAAAACGCATTCTTATCCATTCTTATCCATTCTTGTCATTTCATGTTTCGTTGTCCGCAAAATTGAATCAAGAAATCATGAACCCGATTGACTGGTCTTGGGGGCCAAGATTGGCTCCGTCAGGGCCTGGAGATGGGGCTTTGCCTCATTTTGCCGCTGGTTCGCTTTCTGAAGCTCTTGCGCTACTTTGAGCCTGAGATGCATGAGACACCTGCATTCGGTATCCGAAAAGAAGATCGGAAACATGATAGTGGATGAGGGTGGTCACTTAAGGGAAGAGATGAATACCATTTGGTTCCATGTGGTAGTTTATAGAGCTTTGCAAATGCAAAGTCGCCATGTTTAAGTTATATAGTTGCTTAATCATCAAACCATTGGCGCACACCAAAGCAGTATTGAAATCTCTGAGCACTTTTGCCGGGTCTCAGTACTATGAAGGCAGCAGTAGAATTCCAGGAGACAGATGGACATGTTGCAGGAAACCCTGGCATAACTGCGGCTGACACCTTTTCACATCTTTTGACGTGTTTACCCTTTTCTTGGTTCTCCAACAACTTCAGGAATCGGCATGTACCGGATGTTTTGCCGTTGTTTGCAGTAACTCCAGCTGTGCCCAAAAAAGAGCATTGATTGCTTGAGAAGGTTTATATAAGACTATTGATGTCAATCGCTTCCAAATCACAACTGTTCTCCAAACATGAAGTTTCAGCACTGCCTGTGTGCTTTTTGTAGCAGCATGCAGGAAGTTTTTCGTCTCCTCATTGTGGCTTTCCAAAACTCCATAGAGGCGCTTCCTGTCCTTAGTTACTTCATGGCAGTCCTGGTACTGTTCAGCGCCACAGGGATTTACATGGAAACTTGGCCGCAAAAAGGTTGATCAGCACACGTGGTCCCCAGATGACACAGACACAGCTGTGAATCTGGCCAATGCCAGACTTGGGTGCATGATTGCCAGATATTACCAGGATTCTGCCTTTTTTGAAGTTGATTTTGTTCAGTTCTTTGCATTTCATTTTGTTAGGGTTAGCCCTTGACGACACCTCTGGAGCCATAACCCAGCAATGGCAGGTTAGGAACAGGATGCCCTTGCTTCAAGAGTTGCCTAATATGGTACCTCTATGGCAGTGCAAAAACCACGTGTGAGTTGGTGTGCAAGGTGTGGTTGACTCCAATGTTACGGTATCCCTTAGTCTGCGGCATAGGTGCCGCTTAGCTCATTATTTGCGTATTTTACGTACATATTCTATATACATGATTTTAGGTCGGTTGGTGTTGGTTGGCTTCACCACCAGTCCAGGGAGCAATGCATAGTAATGCAAAGTAATGCCAACACCGGATTAATAACCCCCCCCCCTAGAAGGTAGGGGGGTACCTTCTGGCAAGTTTTCTTGACTACCCGTAAATAAACGGCCCTGAACCATAAAATTCTGAACCATAAAACTTTGGATATGGCTTACGTCAATTAGATCTTAATAGAATTCCATTGGACTTGTTAAAATTTCATGGATCAGAAAGGTGGTTGATTAATCAGGGGCAAACCATGGTTATTATTACTGGGGGACATGGGCTCATGGGGGGTACCCTTTGGGAGCTATCCAAACTGATGTTTTTTATAAAGATTTTAATTAGAAATCGATCATTTGGGGAATAGTTGTTTTTTGAAATTTTCAATGATCAACTTAAACCTGAAGTATAACAATGATGATTTAAAAAAATGTAAAAAACAATTGGAAATAAATAGAATTGGAAATAAAAAATGTTGGATTAAAAAAATGGATCTCCGAAGTGGTTGTTGATTAATCGGGGGTAGGCCAAAAAAATTATTAATCTGGGGGGACCACCTGTTTTTAAATTACATTTTTTTTTGGGGCAGTTGCTGTTGATTAATCGGGGGGCATTATTAATCCTCACTTGGCATTAATGATAATGAAACAATCAAAGATTTGTCATTTCCTAGCTTTCTTGAAGGATATCTATGAGTCGCCATGTGCAGCAATAGAGTCAATCCGGTTAAGCATAGGGCAGCCAGAACAAAGTCAGACAGGCAAGCGTTTGTGACAAGAGAATCTGATAGTAATCTGATATTCGAACTTGCCACAAAGCCCAAAATCCCTTCTGCAGTTTCGCTCTCTGCCTGCTTCGTGGGTACTGTTACTGCAAGGCGGAGGGAAACAACATTCCAAGCATCCAGCATTCCATTTGGTTGGCAGCACTTTGGTCGCAGTCAGTGCCAGGGTGGGACGCCACTCCCGTTCGTGGAGATGATGTTTTTTTTTGTGTTGAAGTGCTCTTTATATAGTTGTCATATTTTTCATTTTTCTTAGCTTGAAGGCTTGAGTGGAGTGAAAGGTCTTGCTCTGACGATGTCTCTTCTGGGCTGAAGGGGTTTTGTAGTGAATAAAGGATTGAATGCAGGATTCCTGCATCGAAAAGTTCCTTGGAAGCTAATCCAACTGTTAATTTGTCACGGCAGGCTTCATCGGGCTTCTTGCATTGTCTTTTCTTTGTTTGGTGGCATATAGGTGTTCTGACATTGACGGGTTCTGTGTTGTGATGGTTTCTTTGTTGAAGGGTTCTCGGGACTGATTGGTTCAAACCCCACGGGTTACTGATCAAAGGGCTAGGCTATACTCATTAAGGTTGATCCTGCATTTTTCTGGAAAATACATGAAAGTACCTAAACATACCATTCATGCTTAACACGCGGTTTCATATAAAATAATTCTGCTCCAATTCTACCAGAAACAAGCCTCTGACACTTTTTCACTCCAGACAAGGGTACGACTTGTTGGATCAACCCGCGCGCGGTAAACCCAACTTGTTGCATCCTACATAGCCTCTACAACTGACAGACTCCAAGCCAACAAGGGCAAAAATTCGAAAACATGTTGAACGATGGCAACACATGAATGACATACTGTACCCGTAGGCCTAGGCCAAGCAGTACAGTTTTAATGAGATCACTCTACCTCCAAGAAGGGCATTGAAGGTTTCGCTGGAGTGAATGTTTCTAGTAGTCTTGAGGCTGCTTCTGTGTGTGCGAAGGTTTCTTGAGGAAAAATTGTGAGCGCAGGTTTTTTGACTTAAACGTTTCCATGGATTTAAGGGTTGCAGTGAAGATGATTGAAGTGTTCTATGATCCTGCGAGATTCGCACCTGGATTCGCGCTTGGAATTCCAATCCCTGCAATGAAAGTCACCGCAATGAAGGTCACTGCAATGGTGTTCACTGCAATGAAAATCACCCAAAGATTGTCACTGCAATGATCGTCATAGCAATCATAGTCATTCTAATGGAAGTCATTGCAACGATTGTCACTGCAAACATTGTCATTGCAATGAAAGATATGAAAGTCACTGCAATGACCGTACATGCAATCGGGGTCATTGCAATGAAAGTCATTGCGACGATTGTCACTGCAAAGATTGTCACTGCAATGAAAGTCACTACAATGATTGTCACTGCAAAGATTGTCACTGCAGTGATCGTCAATGCAACCATGGTCTTTGAAATGAAAGTCATGGCAACTATTGTCACTGCAAAGATTGCCACTGCAAGGAAGGTCACTACAATGATTGTCACTGCAATGACTGTCAGGGCAATGATTGTCACAGCAATGAAGGGGATGCAAAGATTGTCACTGCATATCAGTTGGGAGGTTAGTGAGATGGAGCTGTGAGTGAGGTGAGGTGATCTGAGAGTGAGTTGAAAGGAGATGAGAGTTTCATTCGTGTAAGGGAAGCTTCGCACGAAAGCTTCGCTTGCATATCTTAAACTTTCACTTTTTGAGGGAGGCCTCGCGCGAAATTGTGGCACGGTTGCGGCAATGAGTTTTTTGTTGATGTTTCTTGTTTTTGTTGCCTTTGACTCTTCCTTTAAAAGCTTCAAACTTGTATATACTTTGCGCGGCTTTGGCACCGGGATCCGGTTTTGAAGCAGGTTCTGGGCCAGAGACGAGCTGAGATGAGCTGAGAGGAGGATAGAAGAGATGAAAAGACATGAGATGAGCGGAGAAGATTTGAGAAGAGGAGAGAAGAGATGAGAAAACATGAGATGAGATGACAGAAGCTGCGAAGAGCAAACAAGAGCTGAGAAGAGTTGAGAAAACCATAGAAAACCTGAGAAGAGCTGAGATGAGCTGGATAAGCTGAGATGAGATGAGTTGAGATGACCGGACATGAGAAGAGCGGTGAAGAGACGAGGCTGAGTTGAGACAAGCTGTGTAGAGTGGAGAAACTGAGAAGGGCTTAAAAAAGAGTTCAGATGAGCAGAGTAGAGATGAGAAAAGTTGAGATGCCGTGAGAAGAGATGAGAACATGGGATGGCATGAGAAGAGCTGGGATGAGCTGAGAAGACGAGAGAAGACACGAGATGAGATGAGATGAGGTGAGGTGAAAAAAGTTGAGAAGAGAGCGGCAGAAGATGAGCTGAGGTGAGATGAGCCGACTTGAGATGAAATCAGATGAGGTTAGAGGAGATGAGAAGTGAAAAGAGACGTCGGAGGACAGTTGTTCTATAGTCTTTAGGCCTTTCATTTTTGGAACTTCCGCCCGCGGCTTGCCCGGGCACTGCTTGTATCTTTGTGATAGTGACGTAGAATCATAATCAATGAGAAGCACGGATCTCCGTTGTTTGGCATCACGACTGAGACCAGCCACCGTCATCATGTTTCACCTGTTATTATTCTCTGAAGTTGCTGCCATTTCAAGGCGGTTTTGGTTCCATTTCCATGCACATGCTTTGCCACGTTGCAAACTAGATGTCTGCCCGGGATCCCGCATATCTTTGACATGCTCATATCCCTGAATAGGGACGATGTTCTCCCCAAACAGTGTGTCCACACTGAGGGGTTCTTACGGTATCTTACGGTAAGTGTAAAGGCCGGTGCTTGATCAGGGTGCTCACTCTGGGCCCCGGCATTTTTCCTGCAAATTTCCGTGTAAAGTAGCTCTTGTGAAATGTTGACATGCCTTTCGACTGCGCAGGCTCGCACAAAGTCTACTCCGCGGTTTCGGTCTGCGGATGTTTGTGGCATTTTACCTGCAAATTTCTCTAAAAAGCGGCTCCTGTGACATACGGACATGCATTTTGACTGCGCAGGCTCGCACAAAGTGTGGTCCGCGAGTTTGGTCTGCGGCATTTTACCTGTAAATTTCCGTATGAAGTGGCTCTTGTGACATGTTGAAGTGCATTTCGACTGCGCAGGCTCACACAAAATGTGGTCCGCGGGTTTGGCCTGCGGCCTTTTACTTGTAAATTTCATTCAATTTGTGTATAAAGTGGCTCTTGTGACATGTTGAAGTGCATTTCGATTGCGCAAGCTCGCGCAAAGTGTGGTCCGCGGGTTTGGCCTGCGGCATTTTTCTTGTCAATTTATGTATAAAGTGGCTCGTGCGAAATGTTGACATGCATTTCGACCATCATCATCATCATCATCATCAACATCAACATCATAGTCGCGTATCATCCTTTTGGTGATCTGCGGCTGCGCGCTCGCACCCTCGACGCGATGACAGTGCGGCCGCTGGGCGCACGGCAGCATGCGCGTCTTGGCGTGCATCGTCTTTTTGATGAGCCGCGGTTGCGTGCTCAGTTCTCGATCGTTGCCTTGGCACCGTCATCACTGACCGCAACCCACTGTCCGCAGTTGAAACAAGTTGTCCGCAGATGCCCGCAGTTGTTGCTGTATCTGGGAGTAAAGATGTGTTTCCATATGTGAAATGTATTGAAATGTTCTTAAAGTTAAGCGTATGCTTTCAAAGACGGTTGTTCAGCCTGTCCCGACATTGTCAGCGCCAGACTGCAATGATGGCAGAGACCTGTTCATGTCCTTTCACCATCCTCATCACCATCATCATCATCATCAACATCAACATCATCATCATCATCATCATCAACATTAAAATATATCATTCTCCTACTTCCCCCACACTGTTTGGGGTCCCTTGCCGGGATCACGTTCTAGATTAGCTACAGAACATCAAATTCCAAACCCTACAAACCCTAGGCCCTAAACAGTAAAAACATCTCAAAAACACTAGACGACAGCGTGGCCTGAAAGATGAGCAGGAGGGAGTAGACCAAAAGAGGATGGACAAGAAAAGGATGATGATGAATGATTATGAAACAAAATGAATGACGAGTGAAGTTCTGATGATGCATGATACTGAATGATGAGTGAAGTTGTTGATGACGATCATGGACTGAACATATGATGAGTGATAATGAAAGTATATTTGTTTAGGCGGCATGGGCAAACGTTTGCTAAAAGACCGCATGTGTCCTTATTTGGTTTTCAAGTCAGCACCTGCCCGTGCAAGTTCAATGTTGCTCCGAACTTGGATGCATGACAGTTTGCAACAAACGGTCACCCTGGGTATGCAAGTTGTGAAGCAACATTCTTGTGGCCAAGTGCGACTACCAATACTCCGGGCCCAGTGTACATTCTTAATTTTGAACACCATGCAACTTTAATCAAGTTTACAGAACCCCCGGCTTCTTGACAGAGTTGTTAGTGTTGAATTGAAGGAACACGAAAACCACAAAATCCCTGGGTGTGATTCATCGCAATCCAAATTGCCTGCCCTGCAGATGCTATGATGAGGTGGTTACTATGACCACTGTGGGTTTTGGGGATTATGTGCCACGCAGCACTGGAGGTGACCTGCCTGCTGGTTTCAAAGGGGTAAGGGGTATCATGCGATATACTGTTTTAACGTTTATCGTCAAAATATGATGATCTGAGACTTGACCATGTTCATTTTTAAATTTACATTCATTTAATTGTGAGCAATTTGTTTGAGTTCGCCAGGCTACATCATTGTCTCGGTGCTCACTTTAGCAGCTTGCTTTGGATGTTCCCAAATGCAGTCGCGCTGTCACGCTGAAGGTTTTCGCAACTCCAAATGGAAAGTAGGTGGCGGCAGTAGTATGGTCAGTCTTATGGAACAGGGGATTTTGCACGCAAATCCACTTCACTCTAAGGATTGTGTGTCGGGTCTCGTGCATACAAATTTGGCACGGGCGTTCCTAAGGAGATGATTAGGAGGGATTCTGGAGATCTTGCTACAAAAACTTGGGACAAAACAAAAGTGCCCAAGCATCTTGCAAAGATCCCGAGAAGATGTCGCACAACAGTTGGCATAGATGCCATTATAATAAACAGAAGATTTTGTTGCAGGCATTGTTTTGTCGTTTGAAACCCTTCTTTCTGACTCGCTAGTGTATTTCCTGTGCCTTTCTGTGATCTCGTTGTATGAGGTGTTTGCTGGGGTTCATCTATGTAATGCTTTTCGTTGGTTATCATTTAGTATCATGTGTCAACTGTATTTGTTTGTTTTGAACAGGCCCTTATGTTGGTTCTTTCGGCTGGTCCTGTCCTCCTATGTGTCCGAGAGCTACGGCAACGATACAACGAGACGACCAAATACAAGCAACACAGTAAGATTTCTGAACATATGGATCCTATATGATCCTACTGAGGTTTCATGATGTAGTGATTTCTCCGGAGGTTGCAACTGGGATCCCTTGGGTCCCTTGCAGCTTCTCAGGTGAGCGTTTGGTTCCTGGCTCTGCCTGTGGGAATCATTGGCGCCCAAGCTGCAGCGGCGCAACGACAGAGTTCGACAGCGGTTCCATCAAATTTTAGACGTTATAGCTTTCATTATTGGCAAACTTAGTTTTCCAGGGTTTGCTTAATGTGATTTTGGCGGTTCCCAATGGGAAACCTGCTGTTTTGGGAATCTACTGGGGGTATTTCTCTGGGGCGGGTCAGTTTCAGGCCATCGCTGGCAATGGATCTAAAACACCATCTTCCGGATATCTGAAACCGAAGCAAGAAGCTTTCGGAAAACCACGTTTTACCAAAGTGCTGGAGGAACAGCTGGGAGGTGGGAAAGAAGATATCTTGTCACATGACGTAAGCGCAGGAAGAAAATTCCTACACTGTTCAATGAACACACAGACGTATGCAGCCTGTTCAGGATGGAAGACATGCTAGAACAAGAAATGAGTTGATGATAGGAACATTTTAGGCAGCACTGCTGCTGCACACCCCACGGTCTCCTCTTTGACTTCCCTGTTTCTGTTACTGAAAGCTCCACCTTCGTTGGTTTATAAGTTTCCCACATTGTAGGATGTGAATGGGAGTGGCTCAAGATTTTGCGGGCCAAGAAATTTCAAGAATGAGATAGACCTCCCTTTGGTTCTGAAACGTAGCCATGGAAAATCACATGTGTTGATAGGTAAATCAAGTCGTTTGTAAGTGGGCCATTTCCATCTAGCAATGTTCAATAATCAGAGGGTAGATCAAGACATGCCTTGCTGGTCCCTTGGCGCTCTTCGTCATCCGCAATAAGGCCATGAATTTACTTGCAGCTGGAAGGCAAGGAACCACGTGCTCTTGATCACTCGAACCAAAAATTGCTTGGAGATGCTTGGCATAGTTACAGCGGTTACATTGATCCCTGGGGTACTTAGCATACAGCTTTTTGTAAGGAATGCAAAAGGGATACAGTATTTGTATGAAACAGCAATGGAAGGTATTTCCGACCGTGAGAGTCACTCGATAAATTTCAGTATGTGAGTCGCTGCCAGTGTATGTCAGTGTCCCTTCTCCCTTTATTCCCGAGAGCGTCTGAGCGCAGGGTTCTTCCAATAGTGGGGGTCTGTAAAACATCTTCTCATCTTCACATCTTCTCATCTTCAGATATTCTCATCTCCTCATCTTCTCATCTTCACATCTTCTCATCTTCACATCTTCACATCTTCTCTCATCTTCTCTCATCTTCTCTCATCTTCTCACATCTTCTCACATCTTCTCACATCTTCACTCACATCTCCTCACATCTTCACTCACATCTTCTCACATCTTCTCACATCTTCTCATCTTCTTCACATCTTCTCATCTTCACCTCTTCACATCTTCTCTCATCTTCTCAGGTCTTCTCACATCTTCTCACATCTTCTCACATCTTCTCACATCTTCTCACATCTTCTCACATCTTCTCACATCTTCTCACATCTTCTCACATCTTCTCACATCTTCTCACATCTTCTCACATCTTCTCTCATCTTCTCACATCTTCTCACATCTTCTCACATCTTCTCATCTTCACATCTTCTCATCTCACATCTTCTCATCTCACATCTTCTCATCTTGCCCTCTTTCCCTCTTGCCCTCTTGCCCTCTTGCCCTCTCCTTCTTTCATCTTCTCACATCTTCTCACATCTTCTCACATCTTCTCATCTTCTTCACATCTTCTCATCTTCTCTCATCTTCTCTCATCGTCTCTCATCTTCTCACATCTTCTCACATCTTCTCACATCTTCTCACATCTTCTCACATCTTCTCACATCTTCACTCACATCTTCTCACATCTTCTCACATCTTCTCACATCTTCTCATCTTCACATCTTCTCATCTCACATCTTCTCATCTTGCCCTCTTGCCCTCTTGCCCTCTTGCCCTCTCCTTCTTTTCTATTTCTCTTTTGAAAGCGGGAGCAGGGACAGTGCCAACGAGACGGCACGAAACGCAACCCTTTCGCACGAAATGAGGCTCGATCGTCAAAAACTGAGGTAAAAATGCGATTTGACTTGTGCCGGAGCAACCTTTTCGCACGAAGTGAGGGTCGATCGGCAAAAACTAAGGTAAAATTGCGATTTCACTTGTGCCGGAGCAACCCTTTCGCACGAAATGAGGGTCGATCGGCAAAAACTGCGGTAAAATTGCGATTTGACTTGTTCTGGAGCAACCCTTTCGCACGAAATGAGGGAATTTTTCGTGTGCTGGAGCAACCCTTTCGCACGAAATGAGGGTCGATCGGCAAAAACTGAGGTAAAATTGCGATTTTTCGTGTGCTGGAGCAACCCTTTCGCACGAAATGAGGGTCGATCGGCAAAAACTGAGGTAAAATTGCGATTTTTCGTGTGCTGGAGCAACCCTTTCGCACGAAATGAGGGTCGATCGGCAAAAACTGAGGTACAATTGCGATTTATCGTGTGCTGGAGTAATCCTTTCGCAGGAAAAGGGGTTTGTGTGTACGAGCGTTTCTGTGTAAAGATGTTTGTGTGTAAAAGTGTTTGTGTGTACAAGTGCATCTGTGTAAAAGTGTCGTGTGTAAAACCTTCTGTGTGTAAAAGTCTTTGTGTGTAAACGGGTTTGTGTGTACGAGTGTTTCTGTGTAAAGATGTTTGTGTGTAAAAGTGATTGTATGTAAATTTGCATCTGTTTAAACGTGTTTGTGTGTAAAAGCTTCTGTGTGTAAAAGTGTTTGTGTGTAAACGTGTTTGTGTGTCGGAGTGTTTCGGTGGAAAGAAGTTTGTGTGTAAAAGTGTTTGTGTGTACAAGTGCATCTGTGTAAAAGTGTTTGTGTGTAAAAGTGTTTCTGCGTAAAAGTGTTTGTATGTAAAACCGTCTGTGTGTAAAAGCGTTTGTGTGTAGAAGCTTCTGTGTGTACAAGCGTCTGCGTGTAAAAGCGTCTGTGTGTAAAAGTGTTTGTGTGTAAAAGTGTTTGTGTGTAAAAGTGCCTGTGTGTAAAAGCGTCTATGTGTAAAAGCTTCTGTGTGTACAAACGTTTGTGTGTAAAAGCAGCTCCTGCGTGTAAAAGCGCCTGTGTGTAAAATCGTCTGTGTGTAAACGTGTTTGTGTGTAAAAGTGTCTGTGTAAAAGCGTCTGTGTGTAAAAGCTTCTGTATGTAAAAGCTTCTGTATGTAAAAGCTTCTGTGGGTAAAAGCTTTGTGTGTAAAAGCGTCTGTGTAAAAGCTTCTGTATGTAAAAGCTTCTGTGTGTAAAAGCTTTTGTGTGTAAAAGCGTCTGTGTGTAAAAGTGTTTGCGATGCAAACTATTGTCTTGCACTTCTCACTATTTTGTCTTGATACTCCTCTTCTCGACTGCCTATAACACATCTTTCATATATCGTTTCTAAAATTGCGTCTCCATACTAACAAGAGAAAACCCTGCTCCTCTACGCTCTCGGGCCATCCGTCGTCTAGTCCCTTCCTTCTTTTTTATCCTTTTCTCCCTTCCTCCTCCTTTCCTCACACTGCGTCAAGATGTCCGCAAAGCCTTGAAGCATTGGCCCATGGACCTGACGCACCAGAATAAATTTTGCAGATCTCGCAGACAGAGTTGGATCCGACACTGCGCTCGCACGAGCTATGTCAATACACTGGGGGAAAACACCTGCCAGTACTCTGCGAGTACTCTGCCAGTGCTGTTTAATATGTCAGACTCCGTCAGACATATAGATGTCGGTCAACATGTCCCACACTTGCTAGCAAAGATGTCAAGAAACATGCCTGCAGACACGCCTTGGCATGTGCAAGTAGGCATACTATTGTAGATGCCGGTGGATATGTCAGTACACGCGTCAAGACGTTGTCAATAGATACGGCAGCCCATGAGTCACACATGCGTGAAGGAAGTTGTCCCGGCCACAATGTCAGTCTTTGTGAATTTGCCCGCGATGGCGGTGGCATATGTTTGCGCAATGGTTTTGCTTGTCAACTCACTAGGCACGTCCAACATCTAAGAACTTAATCAGTACGCAGACCAACACACACTTCAGTCGACGTGTCCGAAAGCATGTCATAGCTGTTGTGTCTACATGTGCCACAAGAAATGTTTTCGCAACATGTGAGCCGCATGTCAGCACATGGGTTTGTCAACTGTTGGTTTGTCTGTGTGTGTGTGTAAATATTTATATATGTATATTTAATTTTATTTATTTAAATATGCACAGATTTATATGTTTATATATATAATTATTTATATATGTGTATATTTTATTAAATTTCACGAGCTCCTGGGATTTTGTGATTTTTAGGGAATATTGGATATCAAGGTCAAGATGCAATATTTGGTGCAGTGTACGCGCACAAGGGTGGCACCAAAAAACTTAAGCGTCATGGTTCGCACGGGTTTGCACTGGATCAGCCTTCCATAAATGGAATTGGTCTAAATAGTCGTTCAGAAAAAATGAAACGGTCGGAAACGGTCGGAAACATGATCAGGCCAAAACTTGTCCAACCCGCATTTTTTAAAAGATAAGCATTTCCGCGCAACGCAGTTTTTTTTTGAAGGTCCAAAGGTGTCCAAGGGGAAACGGTTGGAAACAGTCGGAGATCGCACCTTTGCTGGGCAAAAAAGTAGTTGTTTTGTAGCATATGTTCATGAAACATGTTTGAAAATTGTGTAAAAACATGTCTTTTTTGCCGAGTGAAGGTGCGATCTCCGACTGTTTCCAACCGTTTCCCCTTGGACACCTTTGGACCTCCAAAAAAAAAACGGCGTTGCGCGGAAAGGCCTATTTTAAAAAAATGCGGGTTGAACATGTTTTGGCCTGATCATGTTTCCGACCGTTTCCGACCGTTTCCGACCGTTTCCGACTGTTTCCGACCGTTTCCGACCGTTTCATTTTTTCTGAACGCTTAATTAGACCAATTCCATTTATGGAAGGCTGATCCAGTGCAAACCCGTGCAAACCATGACGCTTAAGTTTTTTGGTGCCACCCTTGGGCGCGTACACTGCACCAAATATTGCATCTTGACCTTGATATCCAATATTCCCTAAAAATCACAAAATCCCAGGAGCTCGTGAAATTTAATAGTATATATACATATGTATTTATATATATATATATAAATATAGATATCGTATCTCCCTATAAAGAGTATGACAACGTATACATGTACAATTGTGTTGGAGGGTGGGGATCATTCAAGAGGATGTGATCTTTGGTAGACTTGATCAGGGCATCTGCCAGAACCTCATGAATGTCCATACTAACAAATCCAACAATCCTTTTGAACAATGATGGCTCAAATGTGCAAGCGGTTTTCAAATCAGGTGGTTGTGTACATTCATGAAAACATGTGGTCAAAAACAGCGAGAAAGAGGTTCATCCCAATTGGCTAATAACCCATGCATACTTTGGACATGTCCCACATAAAACTAGGTTTCATATGTCTTTACCGGTTACTAACTGGGATGCACATCCAAGTAGGGCGGTGCAAACAATTATTTGTTAAGCATCACTACCCTCTTGGCGCCCCTGACCCCCCCCCCCAGGGGGTAAAAAATGTAACATACATTATTATATTAAATTTCACGAGCTCCTGGGATTTTGTGATTTTTAGGGAATATTGGATATCAAGGTCAAGATGCAATTTTGGTGCAGTGTACGCGCACAAGGGTCGCACAAAAAAAACTTAAGCGTCATGGTTTGCACGGGTTTGCACTGGATCAGCCTTCCATAAATGGAATTGGTCCAATTAATCGTTCAGAAAAAATGAAACGGTCGGAAACGGTCGGAAACGGTCGGAAACGGTCGGAAACAGTCGGAAACATGATCAGGCCAAAACTTGTCCAACCCGCATTCTTTTAAAAATAAACATTTCCGCGCAACGCAGTTTTTTTTTTGAAGGTCCAAAGGTGTCCAAGGGGAAACGGTTGGAAACAGTCGGAGATCGCACCTTCGCTCGGCAAGAAAGACATGTTTTTACATAAGTTTCAAACATGTTTCATGAACATATGCTACAAAACAACTACTTTTTTGCCGAGCGAAGGTGCGATCTCCGACTGTTTCCAACTGTTTCCCCTTGGACACCTTTGGACCTTCAAAAAAAAAACTGCGTTGCGCGGAAATGTTTTTTTTAAGAAATGCGGGTTGGACAAGTTTTGGCCTGATCATGTTTCCGACTGTTTCCGACCGTTTCCGACCGTTTCATTTTTTCTGAACGATTAATTGGACCAATTCCATTTATGGAAGGCTGATCCAGTGCAAACCCGTGCAAACCATGACGCTTAAGTTTTTTTTGTGCGACCCTTGTGCGCGTACACTGCACCAAATATTGCATCTTGACCTTGATATCCAATATTCCCTAAAAATCACAAAATCCCAGGAGCTCGTGAAATTTAATACATTATTACATTTTTATACCCCCCCTAGAAAGATAGGAGTTTGGGGGGGGAGGTAAAAAATGTAACATGGGCATTGCACGGGGGTACACCTGCTATGTTACATTTTCCAAGGCCCCCCCCCCATGAACAGCCACGGAAATACTTTGGGGGGGGGGACCCTAGGGGGTAGAAATTGTAACATTTCTCCGTGGGTTACCCAAAAAATATATGTTACTTTTTTGGGTCCCTCCCCCCACCCTGCCCTATAACCCCCCTATAGCTCTACATTGCCCTACCATAACCTACATTAACCTACCATATCCTCCCCATTCATCCCCATTCTACATTCTGAATTATTCTGATATATTCTTATATTATGTTTGATTCCAATGCCAATGCTTGGACATGTTTGGACATGTTTGGACATGTTTGACCGATTTTTTGGTGGAATACATCAAACACCCCAAAAATGTAACATACATTTTTCAGGTTGGGAAGTCGGATCTTGTTATTTTCTATTCAAACCACCCAAAAAATGTAACATACATTTTTGAGGTTTATCTTTACAAATTTGAATTATAAATTTGTTTACTCAGCCTAAAAATGTAATGTAACATTTTTACGTTTACTTTATGAATTTGGGTAAAGCAACCTACATATACGTGGATATATGTGGTATATAGCCAGGGTCCCGAAACCCTGCATAATGGCACTCCAAAAATGTATGTTACATTTTTTCACCCCCTGGGGGGGGGAAGACGGTCGTGATTGTTAAGCCATTTGCCAGCGCAGAGGCTCCCCATGATGGCTAACAAATGGGGCCCTGGAAGATGAATCTCCCTGGTTTTCAGCCGTGGCAAATCGAACAGCCATCTTCAGATGAAAAAACATTGTTGGTGTTAGGATTGGTTCAGTGATGGAGTGAAAGTACAAAATTGTCATGAGAAACGCGAGAAGGCCTTTGGCTTTCCTATATTTTCATCACGACCATGGCCATAGTGTGTATTTGTACCTGCGTCATTTAGGAAAAACTGCGCTGCCTGACAACATCATGGGGATTCAACCAAACCCGCCAAATGCAACCCCCAACAATAGTCAATAAACCCTTCTCAGCCTGGTTTTCGTTGGTGAATAAATTTTCAAGAAGCCCTAGCATGACTAGTGGTTTGGCATCGCCATGATGTGGCAACGCAACGCGTTGCCCGCATCGAGGAAGTGGGGTTACAATTCCAATAGCCTTAGCATGCTCTTCCAGTACGTGGACAGCAACGGTGATGGCAGTTTGAACATGCCGGACGGGCCTGCCAAGTTGACACCCAGCAGTTGGTTTTCAGTGTCGTACAATGCTCACATGTTCGCAATGCTTGACCATCGCGGTGATTTGATGTCAACAGTTATGGCAGTGCTGCCCCTTTACCAGTTGTAAGTCAGCTATGCTATAACATGTTATAACAACATATAACATCATATAACAACATTGATGGAATGATACCCCCTTTTTAACCGTTTATAACTGGAAAAGGGCTTTAACTGAAGGGAGCTGTGTTTAATTTTTTTGTCGGGTTCCATATCTGCCTGGGACGCTGCCAGGAGTTCTTGGAACTCATGAGACAGATGCGAATAGGCATTGATGCCAAGATGGCCATGGAACTTTTCCAAGAGTTCCAGAACTTGAACTGGGAACAAGTGGGTGTGGTGGGCATTCGTTGGTTCCACATGTTTTTGGGGGTTTGGTGCTAAATGTGCACAATTTTGGCTCAATGTTTTTGGTGTCCACACCTCAAGCAGCGCGAGCACTCCTTGTTTTTGCTCACGGCCGCATTAGCGACACCACAGGAACTTCACCTTTTTTTTTTCTTCACCTTGTGGATGCTACGCAACAACACTGGGGTGGGGGTGGGGCATGTTAACCTTACATGTAGCTTGCATGCCTTGTGGATGCTACGCAACACAGGGGTTGGGGTGAGTTGGGGCATGTTAACGTTCCATGTAACTTGGATGCGTTGTGGATGCTACGCAACACGGGGGTTGGGGTGGGGGTGGGGCATGTTAACCTTCCATGTAGCTTTGGGTGGATGGCAACACACGGGGTTGGGGTGGGGTGGGGCATGTTAACGTTCCATGTAACTTGCATGCCTTGTGGATGCTACGCAACACGGGGGTTGGGGCTGTTAGCGTTCCATGTAACTTGATGCCTTGTCCATGTACGCAACACGGGGGTGGGGTGGGGGTGGGGCATGGTAGCTTGCTGCCTTGTGGATGCTACGCAACACAGGGGTTGGGTGAGTTGGGGCATGTTACGTTCCATGTAACTTGGATGCAGTTGTGGATGACTACGCAACACGGGGGTTGGGGTGGGGTGGGGATGTTAACTTCCATGTACTTGCATGCCTTGTGGATGCACGCAACGGGGGTTGGTGGGGGTTGGGGCATGCGTTCCATGTAACTTGCATGCGTTGTGGATGCTACGCAGCACGGGGGTTGGGGTGGGGTGGGGCATGTTATCCTTCCGTGTAACTTGCATGCGTTGTGGATGCTACGCAACACGGGAGTTCGGGTGGGGGTGGGGCATGTTAACCTTCCATGTAGCTTGCATGCCTTGTGGATGCTACGCAACACAGGGGTTGGGGTGAGTTGGGGCATGTTAACCTTCCATGTAACTTGCGCTGCATGCATTGTGGATGCTACGCAGCACAGTGGTTGGGGTGGGGTGGGGCATGTTAACGTTCCATGTAACTTCATGGCCTTGTTGCTACGCGAACGGGGGTTGGGGTGGGGTGGGGTGTTAACCTTCCATGTAGCTTTGCATGCGTTGTGATGCTACGCAACACGGGGGTTTGGGGGCGTGGGGCATGTTAACGTTCCATGTAGCTGGTGGCTTGTGATGCTACGCAACACGGGGGTATTGGGGTGGGGGGTGCGGCATGTTAACATGCCTTGTGGATGCTACGCAACACAGGGTTGGGGTGAGTTGGGGCATGTTAACGTTCCATGTAACTTGCATGCATTGTGGATGTTACGCAGCACGGGAGTTGGGGTGGGGTGGGGCATGTTAACGTTCCATGTAACTTGCATGCGTTGTGGATGCTGCGCAGCACGGGGATTGGGGTGGGGGTGGGGCATGTTACGTTCCATGTAACTTGCATGCCTGGGATGCTACGCAACACGGGGGTTGGGGTGGGGGTGGGGCATGTTAACGTCCCCGTGTAACTTGCATGCGTTGTGGATGTACGCAAACGGGGGTTGGGTTGGGGTGGGGCATGTTAACCTTCCATGTAGCTTGCATGCCTTGTGGATGCTACGCAACACAGGGGTTGGGGTGGGGTGGGGCATGTTAACGTTCCATGTAACTTGCATGCCTTGTGGTTGCTACGCAACACGGGGGTTGGGGTGGGGTGGGGCATGTTAACGTTCCATGTAACCTGGAAAGATTAGCTGACGGGAGCGCAATGCTTAGACCAGGCATGGAACCAGTTGAAGAAGTTCGTTCCCAAGGAACTGAGGTCACGAGACTTGACAAGCCACCGTGGCAATTCACGGCTGAACACGTACGTCTTGGCTTTCATGTTCCGGTGGTTTGCAAGGCCGCACTTGCTGAAAGCAGTTGGCTCTCTTGTGAAGAACGCATCTCGCTAGAATAGAGGACAAAAAGACGCTTATTTTTAAGAGTGCTATGTTTTCGAGTCGTAGAGCCAATGGGTTTTGCAAAAAGGATGCTCAAAGTCATGGTAGAAATGGGACGTTCGAAACACACGTTCAATAAGATTGCTGAACGCAGCATCGAATCCTCGAGACTCATTTCGATCTGAGCAAATTACCCAGGGTCGTTAACACGGCCGCAACCTTGTTTTTGCATCATTTCTCGATCACTCCCACTTGATGCTGCATTACTAGATCTTCTCTTGCACTTGGGTTAGGGGTGGGGGGTGGGGCGCATTAACGTTCTGAAAAAGGCGTTCTTGTTTCTGCTACGTCACTAGATCTTCTCTTGCACTTGCACACTGGCTTGATGCTACGTAACTAGATCTTCTCTTGCACTTGCACACCGGCTTCACGCTACGTTATTCAATTTTCTCTTGCACCTGCACACCGGCTTCACGCTACGTTATTCAATTTTCTCTTGCACTTGCACACCAGCTTGACGCTACGTTACTAGATCTTCTCTTGCACTTGCACACCAACTTGGTGCTACGGTACTAGATCTTCTCTTGCACTTGCGTGCCGGCTTGATGCTAGGTTATTAGATCTTGCAGCTTGCGCTTGGGTTAGGGGAGGGGGAGTGGGGCGCATTAAGGTTCTGAAGAAGAGCGGTTCTTGTTTCTGCTACGGTCTTCTCTTGCAATTGCACACCGGCTTGATGCTACGTCACTATTTCCTGTTTTGCACTTGGGATAGGGGTGGGGGAGTGGGGCGTATTGACGTTCTGAAGAAGAGGTGTTTTTGTTTTTGCTACGTCGCTAGATGTTCTCTTGCACTTGCACGCCGGCTTGATGCTACATCACTAGATGCACACTGGCTTGATGCTACGTTACTCCATTTTCTCTTGCACCTCCGCACCGGCTTGATGCTGTGTTACTAAATTTTCTCTTGCACTTGGGTTAGGGGTGGTAGGGTGTAGGAACGTTCTGGAGAAGAGACGGTCTTGTTTGTGCTTCGTCACTAGATCTTCTCTTGCATTTGCATCCCGAATTGATGCTACACTAGGTCTTCTCTTGCACCTACGTCGCTGGCTCTTTGTTTGAAGGGCTTGGAAAGCTCTGTATTACAAAAACAGGTATGGGTGAGATTTGCAGAGCGTCAAAAAAGTTTCCGAAATCTGTGTTTGAAGATTTTTTTCAAACGCGAAGTAAGCGCGAACCAAGATCCTCAAAATGAGGCGCGTTTACAGGGTTGCGACCTGCCTCGAAATCAAGATTCAAGATACCTGCGTCTTCCAATGTATGCCAAATTATTGCCTTGTCAGGAATTATTGCTGGCGGCATGTTTTTCTGCCTCCGAACAGTTTTTGTATGTTTGTCATTTTGCATGCGTTTGCCGGTTTTGAAACGGCGAAAAAACCCAACGAAACGGCGAAAAAACCCGACGAAACGGCGAAACGAATCAAGAGCCTAAAATGTGGAAACTGAAGCGGCGAAAAAAACTGGAAACGGCGAACATTTAGGCAACCGGCGGTATTTATTGCTGTTTCGGATTTCGAGCGATAATTTTACACAGGTGGATTATCCGGTATAGAAACGCATGAAACCCTGGCAGGGTTCACGATTTCATGGTGGTGGCTGATGGAAGCCAATGGTGAATGATGAACTGTGCAAACCGTCCAGCGCTCCTTAAGGTGCGGTGACCATGTTTTGGACATTGCCCCAAATATGAAGACATTAGCGCCACGTCCAACCGTAGACAACAGCACAAGGTATTTTCCACGCTGCAGCATGGGCACAGCACAAGACAAGAAGTGATTTGAAGGATCGCAGCGTCATAAATTGGGTTTGCGGATGTTTGCGGCATATGGTTGAAAATATCGAATAATTCATACTGTATACAGGGGCCCCAAACGGTCCAATACAATGCACTTGTGCTAAGAAAATTAAATCTGATTTAGGGGAAATCATTGGGCCGATCAAACATGGTGTATCAAGATCAGATGCCCGACGTAATGGTATAGTAACTAGTGACTGGCAGCCCCAAGTAAGAGGGTTCCAACAACGACGTAGTTATTCGGTGAAGTGTCGTGGGGGCCCCATCGGCTGCGTCAAGCAACTCAGATGTTCAACATCATGGTACATTGAGGTGTTCACATGTACTAAGATCTAGAGTAGCTGTATACATGTGTAGATGGTGGAAGCACGCTATATGTTTTAATTTAATACTGATACTCATATATTATATATATAAGTTATTTATTTATATATATATTTATATTTCTACTGATACATTTTATTATTTATTTCCCACAACTTTGTGTGGGGCTCTTGTTTTTGAGTCTCTATCCCGGGCCTCCGCCTCCGCCGCCTCCCGCCCCGCCTCCTCCCAACCATCTTTCATATGTTACTTGTCACACACCCTCTTTCACACACAACTTTGTCACACACACATCTTTCTTTGTCAACCACCATCTTTCACTCACACACCATCTTTCACACACCATCTCTCACACACTATCTCTCACACACATCTTTGTCAAGCACCATCTTTCACACACCATTTTTCACACACCATCTTTTACACACCATCTTTCACACATCATCTTTGCCAACCATCTTTGTCAACCACCATCTTTCACACACCATCTTTCGCACACCATCTTTCACACACATCTTTGTCAACAACCATCTTTCACACACCATCTTTTACACACACACACACACACCATCTTTCACACACCATCTCTCACACACCATCTTGGCGACATGAACCTCCCCTTTGCGTGGCAGGCGTGGCACTTATGGCACTGGGCTGGCTCTGGTGGCGCGCTTGGGCCCGTTTTGGCCGCCCGTCAGTATCATTTTTTTACGTTTATCATATATCTATCTATCTATCTATCTATCTATCTATCTATCTATCTATCTTTCACACACCATCTCTCACACACCATCTTGGCGACATGAACCTCCCCTTTGCGTGGCAGGCGTGGCACTTATGGCACTGGGCTGGCTCTGGTGGCGCGCTTGGTGGCCGCCCGTCAGTATCATTTTTTTACGTTTATCATATATATCTATCTATCTATCTATCTATCTATCTACATATATAAATATATATGTTTATTTACATATACATATATATATATATATGTATTTTTATTTATATATATATATATATCAAAATACACATATAAAAATGCATATATATATATATGTATATATATACATAAATATGTGTATATATTCGTATACATGTATTTATATACACATAAATGTTTATATGTGTTTATTTGTTTTTTAATATTTAATATATATATATATATATATGTGTGTTTTTATATATATATATATACATATGTGTGTGTACATATATGTGTATATTTTTTCATATATGCATATTTAAAAAACATATTGAGCATTCCTTTTATATATATATTTGCATACACATTTTTTACTTCTATATTTAATAATTATATTATATAATATTTATAGGCTATTAGGTTGACATATGCTTAGAACATCACTTGTAAAACACTGCTCCAAATTTTATGCAGGATAATTTTTTATGCGTGTGTTCAGAAAACAACACTTAGAGTATCACCAAAAAAAACTTAGAACATCGGGTGTGCACAGGGCGATATCCCAAGTATGTGTCCACTATACTAAAAGTAAATGAAAATGCAAGTTCGCAATACCGTCCAAAACTCAGGTGAATATAGGAATGATGCAAACCAGCTATTTAAGCTTTGCTCGTAGAACAGAAGGTGTGGGACAAACAATGTTTTCAGTGAGGACTCCAGTGTCAAAAAAATATATCAAAATCACTGCCCCTCCAAAAATCTCAATTTTGGAATAAACTCCAAAATAGCGTGCAAGAGGAGGCAAAATGCATGAGGGATGTATGTGCAGGTGGGTGATTTTTGAATTTTCAATCACGTCTCCTCAAGCGGAGAGCCACCTAGAACATCAGACAATTTTTCATTCCCTCAAATTGCATGTTCTTATGTGTTGATGCTCTAAGTGGTGGATTTCCTGATTTTCGATATTCTACGTGATACACTTAGAACATCACCATCTTGATTTTCCTGATGTTCTAGATGTGTGTTGCGTTTGGGAAACGTTTGATGGTCTATATGTGCCTACCTTTATGGATAGATTTAGATGCGTTATCCAGTCGATCTTTTACCCATACCGGCAATGGACGGCACTCGTGCCAGCAACGATGAAACGTGATGAAGCAGTCAGCCAGTGTCACTTTCAGGTTCGATGACGACGGTTCCGGCTGGATTGAGTATGACGAGTTTCTACACCACATTTATCCAGAAGACTTCGTCCGATCGCAATTTACCAGCGAAAACCATCGGCGGCTTATTCGAAAATTCAGGGTGTGTCCTTAGAAAATCCACCAAAGTATCCAAGATATCCAAGACTCATAGTGCTCTATAGGGGTTTCTGTGGAACGAAGGCATCTCCAATGCTGGATTTCTCCTTATGTAGCAAAAACTGTGCATTTTTCGCAAAACAGTGCTGCTCTATATTGGGCGGTGATTCAATGCGAAACCGTCGTTCTTGCTTTCCCGGTGTTGTGATGAGTCAGCATTTCAATTTCTTAGCGACCCCTTGGGGCCGCCATGAACTGCATTGGTTTCTGCGAAATTTGGCCTGTCTAGAGTCTAGAGGCATTGCAAGGGTCATCAGCAGGATTTCACGAGACAAAAACCATCATTTGGGGATGACGAATATTTCAGAGCATATATTTGCGGGTGTTTCGTGCAGTGTGTTTCTTGTGCACTTAAAGTCAAGTAATTACCCTCTTTGGAACGGGCTAGAGAGGGGCCATGAGCACAAGGATTTGCTCTGAAGGATGCATCCCCAACGAGGATCATGAGAGTAAGCAATTGTTCTCATTGTACCCCAGCTCTTGAGCCACGAAAATACATCAACGCATATCAAGGCAATGTAGCCTTAGAGAGAGAGAGAGAGATTGCAGTCTTCAATATTTTCTAGAGATTCCAGCAACATACCGAAGTCTACTTATATAAATTCTAGGATCTTATCTTTTTTGCTGGTTCCTGGACGGGGAACCCCACGTAGTTGCCAGGCCCATTGCAAAATGTTTCAAGCCAGAGACCAGTATGTTTTTAATCATGTTTTTGTCTTGTTTGCTTCTGCCGCGTGCTGAGGAAGTCTTGTGCAGGCGTCAGTGCGGCCATGCAGCGCTTGGAAACTTGGTGCAGCTAAATAGCTAAAGAGGGCAAGGTCCTTAATTTGGATTGCAAAGTGCAGTTCCTAAGTTTAAAAGACTCTCCGGTAATTTAACGCGGCATTGGAAATCACCACGTCGAATATACAGGTATATCATTGAATTGAGCATGCCAAGTGCCATTGCCATGTTTGATTGCCAGAGAGTACGTGTTTCTTTTTCAAGGCCTGTTTCCCGCTCCCTGATGTTGCGAAACAGTCACCACAATCTTGTGTGAGTCCTTGCTTCTGAGAAAGTCATGTGGGGTTGCTTCATTGGGGGGCTGCTTCAAGCTTCAAGTTGATTTTTGGGTCAGAAGCATTTTAGAGAGAACACACACATATATATATATATACACACGCATTTGTCCCTTTTATCAGTGGCTCTGCATTTGTTGGCTTGAACCGATTCTTTTTAGGTAGACTTTTCTATGCGTCTATGCCCACTTGTTTTCCTCTTTTTCCTTTTGTTGGGTGGTATGTCATAGTTCTTTACGTTTTCCTGGTTTTGGCTAGCAGCTGGAGGAAAAAGAATTAAGTAAACCTGCAAGAATCCAACACCAGCAGGGGGAACGTATAAGACCCACAGATTGAAAAAAAAGGCTAGGCAAACACAGTTGTATGGTGTTGTATGCATTGATTCCGGCAGTACGGTTTGAACTGCTTGGTCAGCACCATCATGTCAGATATTGTCAGATACGAAAAAGCGGTGTTGTTTCATTGGTTCCGTTTGCTTAGTTTTGGATGGTTCTTGGAAGCTTCTGGAGGTTTCAAGTTTTGAGGGCATCAGGCATCAGTTGAGAGATGCTGGTTGCTGCCATGGCATATCATGGCATGATGTCCAACTTTCTGAGCCCGGCGTGACGAGTAGAGGAGAATCACGCACCAAACATGGTGTATTTCTGACTTGCGAATTCCAAGAAAGTGCACCTTCTGCCCCATTGTTTGGATGACTTGGCCCAATCACTGCCCGTGAAGCGCACTTCAGGAAAAACACGTTGAACAACATCAGAGCAATCAGTGAGGAGCACAGGAAAACCCTGTGATGGATTCCTGGGTGGGAATGGTGGCTGAATTTGGCCTCACTTAGTGATGATCAGCGGCAAAGATATTTCCCATGCTTCGTCTATTCTTTGGCAGGAAGGATTGCCGCCTCGATTGAAGCTTGAGGGAGCATGTAGATTTGCGATGATTTGCGTAATTTGCTTGGTATGGCTGGAAGTTTGACCACATCACTGATTTTGGTATACCGGTAGACCGTATATATACTTGTTTGTAGGGTGACAACGACGGCTTGGGCAAACTAAAGCAACATCAAGGTAGACCTCACAGAAGCACCAATGATGACCTGAATTCATCAAAAACGCGACATGACCCACAGAAACCTTGATGCAACCCTCAGGGAGCACAGCACTTCTTGCTGTCACCAAAAGGAGCCTGAGGTTTCTGTCATGACGGTCTAGGTCATGAAATTGCATTCACGGAAGTGAACCGCAGAAACACCCGCAACCAAAATACAGATAACAGCAACAGGACGCAAACATGACAAAACAACGGTTAAAAAAGGAACTGCTGGATAGGAATGAGAAATATAAATGGGAAGGACAAAGAGTACCCAATGGTGATTCTGTTTTGAGATGCTTTGAGAGTCTTGTGGTTGTCGCTACCCCTCTACACCGGAGCTGAGACTCCGAGAACACTCGCTTAGCAAAAGCTCAAGAGCTCACATAGATCCAATGTGCCAGATTTCAGCCACTGACAGGTGTATTGTGTTTTCAGTCTTTGATTATATCCGTTGGTGCTTATTGATTGCCAGATCCAAGGCGCAAGGATTTTCAGACGACCGCAACCACCACACACCACTTGTGCATCACAAATATCAGGGACAATGATAGACTTCACAATTAGCCCACTAACAGATGGGAATAGTGGGAATCCTCCGAAGTTCGACGCTTATTTCAGCTGGGAACTAGTGCAATTTGTTAGCAAATGATGTACCGTGATATGTCACATTTCTGGGTCCACCAACCACCCAGCTACTTCACCCACCGACGCGTTATAAAACGCGTTTGGTTCTTTTTTTGCGCTGTCACTTGCGGGGCCAAAACAAGGCTTCAGGATGAGCCACGAGGTGGGTCAAGGATGGTGAATTTCAAGGGTTTCTCAGTGTACATATGATGTACGGGTATGTGTTGCTGATTAAAAAGAATTCATGTTCAACCGACGTTTTCGCATTTTTTAGGAGGTAGGTCATGCATTTGTTTGTACCTTTCGAGTGCTGTCCATTTGGATAGAGTGATCTTAGATCTCTCCTTGGGTAAATGATGTGCATGTGACATGTGCATCTTGCAGCGTTTTCGCTTGCGGGAACCGCATCGAGCTGTACACCGCGTGGCGTTGGGTGCCATGAAGCTACCAAATTTGAACCTGGGACATCAGTGCAGGAATATGTTTAATGAAAACGTACAGTATCTATTGAAACATGTTTTGGTGGATGGGTGTGTCTTAAATATATATATATATATTAATATGATTGAAAAAAAATCATCATAAATTGACGAAGAAATTAAAGGTGTACACCCGGTATTCGTATTTTCGGATACACATACACATGTTTGAACAAACATACACATAGATACATATAGTGATATGAGAAGTATCTATGGCCTTTTATGAACATATGCGCCACTCTTTTGCTTGTTTGCATGTCTGAGCGAATATGTATTTGTACATAAGTATGTCCATCTATTTACTTGTTCATCTACCACATGCAATTCGTCCTGAATACGGACGTGGATTTTTCCATAAGAGCCCAAACATGAAACACCGTCGTGCTCAACTATAGACTTGGTGCCAGAATTAGTTTACGAAACATTTGGCTTACTGATATCAAACATGAGTACCGGGGAAGCCAAACGGAATTCGGACAAAGAAGAGTATGACCCAAATGGCCAGATCGAGTTTAAAGGCCTGTTTGCCACAGGAGGTCTATGTTTATTTTTTTGTGTTGTTTCACGTAAGATGCCCTGAATAGTTTTCAGTGATACACCTACGATTTACATCGATTTACAATATGCAGCAAAAAATCATCATTAACACTATTATAATCAACATACTGTAGATATATATATATATATATATTATATCAATTTATATTATACACTAGCATTGGCATGTCTTATCATGTATACAGAAAACATGCATTTTTGGCGATATTTGCACCTTTGCTTTCTAGGATCGAGGAGGCCAGCGAGACGCATCCCTTCGCGGAGATCGAAGCAAAGTTAGATCGCATCTCCCAGCAGGCTCCACTTTTGTGGAAACAGCGCAGGTAGCCCCCTAAAACATGCGACTTGCACATAATCATTAAATAATTACTCAATAAGCTTCACTTGTAAGGGTAGGTCAAGAACTGAGCAGCCTTGTACTTCCGTTAATGTTGGAGGAAGTCGGAGAACTCTAGTGTTTACGAGTGAACATCTTGAGCAATAAACCGTTCCCAAGTCATCACCACTTTTATTCCCAAGTCATCACCACTTTTGTTCTTTGGGTGCTAGAAACCATCCTCAAATGGTAGGTTCATTGTTGGGTTGACCACATTAATTTGAACATGGGCCCAGCTATAATTGAGGTTTTCTGCCACTTGAGCAAGGCTCAGTTGACCACCGGATAGGATCCTCTGGGAAACCTTTAGTGGCGCTGCAGTGCTGGTGGCTGCTAGCTTCCCCAAGCAGCAGCATAACAACCCAATGGCACCACCGCAATTTGGACTCCTGACTTGCTTCAGGTGGACTCCTGCCTAGCTTGTTTGTCAGAGAGGCAGGGGCAATTGCGCTGAAGAGATTCGAGAGATGTTTCAAGACGTGCGAACATTTTCCACAATCCCAATTTTCTTTACCGTGGATCTTGGTGAGTTAGTTCATCCTGCTTAATGATGTTAGTGTAGGTATTTCATGGTAAACTCACCTATATACTGGATCTAAATGCGGTGAAGCACCGTGGCACCAAGTATTGTGCTTGGGGCACGCAAAACCATAGCTATGAGGGCCATATTCCCACTCATTTTATGGTATTACCATGGCTATATCACAACCATTATTGGCCATTGCTTGTTACCATGAACCCATATGAAACCCATATGAAGCCATATTCACATATATCAACCCGCTATGTCCATTCAATGCCCCTGTCCATCTAACTAAACATCACCATGTCGCGGCACCAGGCATGAAGCCACGAGGCTGCAGCCTCGCCCATCGTGGAGATCAGCGTAATCTGGCCATGGAGGGTTCTGCCAGGGAAAATCTTGGCAAAATATGGAAAACATTTAGGTGAATATCTAGAAATGGAGGTTTCGAGCCGAACTAACCCTGGAGGAGTCTTCAGTCAAAGCCCTTTATAAATTCCTTTACCAGTTTTTTTTTTAATGGTCATACATGGCAGTGTCATGCCATAAGTGGGAATATGACTGATACTTGGCAAAAGGGACAGCTGTAGCTGGGAAAATCATTTTTAGATATCTATACATGGGATACTTCCCACTGCCACGTTTGACTGATTGCTGGAGGGTATACGGTATACCTACTCCAGGATGACTACAGCATTATGTGTGAAGATGTGTTTGTAGATGTATTCGGTGGGACATGTCGCGTTTTTTGGTGATTGTGTATGCAATGGGTTTGGGATGCATACTAACCATCTATATACCAGTAGTACCGCACAAGGCGGTGGCCGAAGTTTCAATGATAGGAAACCCAGAGGACAGTTTGGTTGTTGCGAATCATGGATGGCAGAGCAAACCCACTCATGGATTGAATGATGGTTGGAGTGTCGGGCTATCTGTTTGTCTATCGATCTGTCAATCTATCTATTCGTCTATCCGTCTATCTTTCTTTCTATCTGTCTACCTATCTATTTATCTATCTATCTATCTATCGATCTATCTATCTATGTATCTATCTGTTTGTCTGTCTATCTGTCTATCTGCAAGCTTGAAAACGTAGCTATTCTGCGAGACCTTCCTTGAAATTTAGAAGTTGGAAACTGAACAATTATATAAGCTTTTCTGCGAGACTTCCTTCAAATTTGGAAGTTGACAACATCAAAGCCACAGCAATTTTGCGAGACTTCTTCAATTTTTGAACTTGACAACATCAAAAACGAAGCAATTCTGCGAGACTTCCTTCAAAAATGGAAAGTCGAGCGCAGAGCTGATGGTACCAATGTCTTTTGTGATTTTTCCACTCCATCTGTCTAAAGCATTGCGCCTGCCACAAAGTGAGGCCAGGTCATGGAAAGTGCTGCGCCTGTCACGCAAAATCATTTTCGCAAATTTGACCATTTGATGCTCCAAAACGCAACCTTTCACGCAACCTTTGATGAAGATGTCACTTGTATCGCGCCTGCCACGCGACATGCATCTTGGTAGATCCTCTTCAAATGTCCCACGCCTGATTTTTATTTAACTACTACAAAATTCTCACGTTTTGTCTGACTGGGAAGGTGCATAATCCCTTGCGCCTGCCACAAAAAATGCCGATTGAACGTCCAAAAGTAGTCCGCGCAAGTGGTGCCTTTAGCAGTTTGACTTCGAAATGTGCTTCGCGCCACAATGGCGTGCGCTTTTGTTGAACGTCTGAACTTCCAAAGGTGCTCCGAAGCTGAAGGGTTCTTAACCTTTTGTGCTTTCAAAATGTGCTTCGCGCCACAACACCACGCACTTTTTCAACATCTCAACTTCCAAAAGTGTTCCAAGCATGGTTTGCCTTTAGCATTTTGACTTGGAAATTTGCTTCGCACCCCAGCCGCGTGCACTTTTTCCACTCAACTTCCAGACGTGCTCCGAACATGTTATGCTTTGTACATGTTCTTCGCGCCAAAACGCCGTGCATTTTTAAACATGTCAACTTCAACTTCCAAAAGTGCTCCGAACCTTTTTCCACAGCGACCCACAAATGATTGTTGACTGGAAGCTATGTGGCAAACCCAACGCCTCCAATCACAAACCATTTTTGAAGACTCATTTCTGGGAAGTCACTGAGCACGGGTTTTGAATTTGGCCATCCCCGGTTCCGGAAAATCAGTGGCAACTACCAATACAAAACTAGCTGGGATAAGCCCCCTCTGTGAGATCCCTTTCGCGAGAGCAGACTATGTAAATTAAAACGCGTTGGATAGGTTGACGCGGGGATTAACGTTGTTTTTCTTTTTTGGAGGCTAATTGCGCCGCGGTAAAACACACTTTGCAGCAGGGTTTTCCTTCCCACTTGGCAAAACTGCAGTGCCACCTGAGGGCAAGTGACCATCACACTTCTGTGCTTCCAACCGGAAACTTGGCTTAACCCCAAAGTTTTACCCAGAAAAGCCGTCGGTGATGGTGCTTTCCCCTGGGGAAAGATTGATTTGCCGCGCCAAGGAAGGCATAATTTTGAAAGCGTGTTTGCCGGTTTGCTTTACGACATAAACAGGCAGTTGACTTAAATATGTTCCTGAACGGCACAGTCGCACCACTTGGAAACAGTGGAAGTTCCTACGCTAGGATTGATGCACAGAGTTTTCTATCAGTCGTAATCGATGTGGATGGATTTTTATCACACCTCTTGATACGCAAGGGCCTCAGTGGAACTGAAGGAGGACACGAAAGTGCCAGGACTCCTGGACCCCCTAATTTCAAAGCATCATCCAGTCCGACGTCCTTGGTTTTGCTGCGTTTGATACCAACGGGATCCCAGAACTTTACGCATAAAAAGGTGGAGTGCAGGATTCACAGACTCGAAAGTATCCAAGTTGAGAAGTCCGCTGTCCCGAATCAATTCAGATCCAATTTTAACCAACGTTGGGCTCGAACACCGAAAAGCTTGAGGATCCACTTCCCATGTGGAAATCAGTGATGAGAGCATTGGGCGGCCAAAGCCTCGGCGGCCCTCCAACTTCTCCTTGAGTTCGTGGGCAAGGTGAGATGGGGAATCGTTGGTGGATGTTGGTGGTGTGTCCGCCAACAACGACATTGCTGAAAACGGGAGACCTGGTGATAAGATAAGACAAACCTACAATAAAATGTTGTAAACCAGGTGAAAAAAATTGGGAATGCTTATACTCCCGTTTCTGGTAAGCATGAAGATGATTTTTACTAGGGGTGGGGGCGATTGTGGGGGCTTTGAGCTTAGCATTTAAGGTCCTGATAAGGCTGGGTAATGATAAACCATGAACGCCCTATTAAGGTCTTATTAACCCTTATTAGGGGCTTATTGTTTTTTTTGGTGAAAGGGTTATCCTTTTAAGGCTTTATTAAGGTATGATTCCACATGGCTAGCTGAACTTCTTATCCAGTGCTTGTCCAGATGGATGGATGATGTAAGCCACAACCCAGAAATGGCATTGGGATTTGTGCAGTGATTTTTGTCCAACATTTTGGCAATTTGGGGTTCCTGCAAGGTCATTTTTTTGGGGGGGGGGCCGATGGTCTATAGCTTGGTGGCTTTGGCTTTTCCAAGGCCTATCCAAGGCTGAAATCTTATGATTTCAGATTATATATCAAGAGCTTATCCAGGCTTGTCTAGACCACTCCCCATAGCCCTCACCCGTGTCCATCCCTATCCCCTGACTTCACGCCCAAAGGCCGCCGTCCAAAACGACCACGAGTGGCCGCTGGCTGAACACGACCCGAGTGGGCTCCAAGGATGTCAGCCTTCGCGGCGGCCCTTGGGCTTGATCAGATGCGAGTTTGGGGGGATCTGACCAGAAGGTACACGAGGTGTCGAACTTTGCTGAAACTATGGTTAGCCATGGTTGACTCAAGGGTGATCCAGGAATATACACATATATGCAACTATAGTTATATTATATTATGTATATTATTATGTTACATTTAACTAAGGTGAACCAGGTATTTTAAACTATTGTAAAATACAGATGTTATTTGGAATTGTAAACCAAATGAAAAATAAGGGCACCACCTTGCACAGTCGGCCATCACTATATGGGTGCTGTTTCTTGTCTAGGATTGCATACGACTTTGTCCACCATCGTGTGGACAAACATCTCAGCCCGGCCATTTTTCATATCGGATCAGATTGGCACGTAGCTACTGAAACTCATTGAACATGTATGAACAGGTGAATTGATTGGGATTCTTTTCCCTGGGTGCAACTTGTGTTGCAAAATGAAACCCAGTACCGCTTAGATCAGGTGTCCTCCAATACAACTCACTTTCGCTCATCATTGCATGAAGCTTTGTCGAACTTCCAACCCAAGACATTCTGAATTTCCAAGCCCAAGTGTTGCTTTGATTATTTTCGCATTTGTTCTACAAAGTTTGCGATTTACGTGCATATATATATATATAATATATATTATATATATTATGTAGATTTAAGAATGCCGTAACTTGCATGAATGAATGTCTTCCACGTGAGGTACGGTACGGTGGTACGGTACGGTGGTACGGTACGGTGGTACGATAGTATGGTACATGCTTCGGAGGGTACGGTACGGTGGTACGGTACGGTGGTACGATAGTATGGTACATGCTTCGGAGGGTACGGTACGGTGGTACGGTACGGTGGTATGATAGTATGGTACATGCTTCGGATGGTACGGTACGATGGTACGGTACGGTGGCGCAGTGCATCTAGCAATCTTATGGAAGGTATGGCCCGGTGGTGAGGTATTGTCATGCATTTTCACATATTGGTTCGGCCACGACCTGGTATCTATGATTCATGCTTCGCTGGTATCCAATGTTATTGTTGTAACTTATTGCAGGCTGACAATTTGACAGCTTATTCTACATCACTGAGTCACTGGATAACCTGTAATTCTTCAATGCTTCAACGTAGATGAGAGCCTGCAGCTTCCAAGCACTTTTGAAAACCATGTCTGGAATGGTCCATGATGCCGAAGTGGAAGTCAGATCATCCATGTCTTTGACCTCAAAGGAATTGTTCACAAGCTTCATGCATAGCAACTGCACATCGAAGGCTTCATTGCGCATAGAGAGAAGCAACTCAATCAACTCAGTCGCATCGTTGCGCCGGTTCAAGCTTTTCTTCTTGGCATTCACCTTTGCAACGAAACCAGCAATCTCCTTCTGGGCCGTTTTGATTTTGTCAGTCAAGACTGACTCAGCAACCGTTGACACAATTTTGCTGAAGACTGACTTTTCATTTGATCAAGGGAATCTTTGAACTCTTTCAGCATCATCTCATCTGAAGCTTTGGATTGATTTTGTTGAGTTCGAGGCTGCTTGGTAGGAGGCAACTGCATGATCTCAGTAGCATTTTCTTTACGTTTGTTGGTGCCAGCTCCAGTCTTATCCTTGTCTTTGGCCTTGGACTTGGTCTTGGCATTTCTCTTTGGCTGAGGTTTGGCAGCCGCTGGCTTCGCCGCAGCCTTGACTTTGGGCATAGGCCCAAAGGCAATGCTCAATGCGTCCAATGCATTCCCTATTCCATTTGATGCAACGTTCTCGTTGTCGTCTGAACTGCCATCATCATCACTTCTGTGATCATCATCATGCATTGAAGTCATTGGAGCATCCATTGCATCACATGGGTCCACAGCACCATCCACACTCATAGCAGCAACTGTGGAAGCAGCTCCTGAACTCGATCCAGGAGGCATGAGAGACAAAGCAGGGCGTTTGCTTGATGAGAAGCTTCCAATCTTGAAGAAAGGTAGGTCCAACGCATCAATGGTGTCACTCTTTGAAGTCAATGCCTGAGAGGCAGTTGAGAGAATCTTGGAATGTTGATCACCATCACCCACAGAATTGTCATTGTCAAAAACCTGAACGTCAAGCTCTGTTTCCTTCTCAGTCGATCTGACTCGCTTGTAGTAGCCTTCTCTTCCGGTTCTGATGTTGACCTCAAAGAGTTTAATTTGCACATGGTTTCATTTATTGGTAGATAGACTGAAACAAAGTTGGAGAAAGATCAAGGTTCACAAATTCAAACACCTTTGTGGCTGGCTAGATCAATGATCACCCTGAATTCATTCAAGTGACACCTTCAACCCACACATTGTTGATCTTCTCCCATGTTCTCTCTGACTCCTTCACTTCCTTTCCTGGGTTATCTCTCTGGTAGATGTCAAGCCGACAGAACCATTCCTCAGGCTGTTCAAGTGAACTCTTCTCTCTGTTCTTGACCGACACAATGATCCGCGGACCAAGGGAAACATCTGAACGCATACGGAGCAAAGGGTTGCCACTCCGGAGCTCAATGTACTTGTTCCTCTGGGCCTGAGATAACAAAGCCAAGCTGAGTGCAATGAAGAAGCTCAGCCTTTGACAAAGCTCCTCAAATAGTATTGCTATTTCCTTCATCATATCATTGTCACTCCCAATTGCTGCATCATCATACTATAATATACTGTAATCTGTAGTTTGTAGTATCATTTTATCAGCTTATGTTTCAACACCTTTTGATACTACTACCAAATTGTACTACTGGGATCACTACCGCACAACAATGCCGTACCACAGCACTACCGCACTGCACCACCATATTGCACCACCATACCGCACCACCGTACCACCACACCGTACTACCGTACCGCACCACCGTACCACCGTACCACCGTAACCGTACCACCGTACCGTACCACCGTACCACCGTACCGTACCAGCGTACCGTACCCAATTAGTGATAGACAGCAGTAGACGGCAGTAGACGTCCCTAATCTACAGTAGTATTGGTGCATGTCTCTCCGTCTACTGCTGTCTATCACTAACTGAGTACGGTACGCTGGTACGGTACGGTGGTACGGTGGTACGGTACGATGGTACGGTTACGGTGGTACGGTGGTACGGTGGTACGGTACAGTGGGACGGTACTGTGGTACGGGGGGATAGTACATTGGTACAGTACTGTGGTACAGTTGCAATATCAGGCTGTATTATACATTCATTAATTCAATCATTAAATAACATTTTAGTGCTGGGATATAAAAATGTACCATGGTACAGTAGGTAAGCACAGTTAGATACGTTGGCTTTGCAACAGCCCAGCGCAAGCATAGTTATCATCGCCCAAGTTTGCAACTCCCAGCAAACATTGCAACATGGGTCAAGTGCAGACAAGGCACAATGAACGCATGCAATCTGGTGGGGTCAGATTGGAGGAATTTGTCGAATCCACTCAGGTTGGGAGGCGTACAATCCAATGACCATCCTCCATGCTGGAACACCTTAGACAATCATCCAGTTGCAACCGCAAAATGATACTTCCGGTGCAAGTAAAATATCACATGAATGAATCATGTGAACCATTCTATTGCATCAATGGTATCAGTTGGCAATTTGGTATCATTATTGTATGTCATCCAACGCTGTGCACCAACAAGAGGATCTGATGATCTGACTATGGCTATCAGTCATTTTGAGTTATGCTATTATGTTTACTGCTGGTGGAAGTGGCATCACAAAGTTCATAGCAAACACATATCACATATCTAATTTGTACAGAAATGAAATCAAACACATCACACTTCTTCATACTTACTTTGACATCACAGAAAACAAGTATCACAGTAATTACTCAAGGTCAATAGCATCCAAACAAACGCCAAGAAACTACGATGCAAATGCGGCACACCAAGCCTCGCGGCTTGGACTTGGTACCGTCATTTCACGGCATGTATGGGTCCCATATTGGGAAGCAACCTGGAGGAAGAGGACTGTGGTCAGAGGATTTGTTGCGACAATACTTGCAGAGTTTGATGACGAGCTTCACCTTTTCTGCTGGACCTGCTGCCAACTCTTGAAGACTCCTAGCAGGACTCCCAGGGGCTGGCAGGCCATCCGATGGTGCAACTGACGAAGGCGGCATTGCAAATTCAGCCAGGCGCAATCAAAGGACAAATCACAACCCAGTGAAAAGAAGACACGTTGGAGTTGGAATCTCTGAAACCTGAACCAAACTGTCGCAAACCGGAAGCCGAGAACTACCTTGACGACAGAGATGCTCAACTCATTTCATGGCCGATAGCCATTCAAGTATCTGTGGTTTAAAATGATCTCCGACATTCAATATCCCTTGCTCAAGCATGAACTGTAGCCAAGAGGCCAAGAGATATGAAGCCCTTATGTCTTATGGCGCACGCATGGACAATGGAACATCTTTTTTTGTGTCCCTAAGATATGATCCATGCAGTCCATGCATCGAATTGAATTTGAGAACATGTCAACGTGTTCTCTGCCGCTTTGTCGGCATCTTGCAAAGTTGCTGCATTTATTTGTTCTGCTTTTGCAGGCAGCAAGCATGCTTGGAACTTTGTGTAATGTTTTACTTGATTCCCAAGTGTAATCAAATAAAGGTTCACACAGCACACTTGTGATTGGCACATGACAATTGATCTTTGTGAAAGGTCATGGTCAAAGTAAGTGTAGCGGTAGAGGTGTGGTGTGAACATTCATAAGTGTGTCACCTCAGGGATCTTCTTCAATAGGAAGGCAGACCAGAGCATTGAACCTCCCTGTGAAGACATAGAGTTGTGAATCAGGAATCACACACTCTCAACACTGGGTAATGACACTTTGAATCAAACTTTACTGAAAAAAACAGCTGTGTAACATTCCCATGTGTAACATTCCCATGTGTGCAGCAGCTTAGTCTCTTGACTGGAAGCGCCGCCCACAAACAAGGTAATTGATGCAAAGCTCCGTTGCATTGACTGGTAGAGGGCGAGCCAATCGCACCACGCTACATTTGGAATGCTTTTAACATGCCACCGAAAGCGAATCTTTGAAGGAAGTGATGCGACCTAGGCATTTATGCTGACACAATAAATGATCGTACCGAATCGTACCTCTGATTTACCTGCACATCATACAAACCGTACCTTGAAATCAAGGGGATTCGTACCTATGCACCGTACCTGCTGTATGTTTGGTTCGTACCTGCATTATAGCTGCCGAACCACGGCATTCTTAAATCTACATAATATATATATAATATAAATATATATAGGTATACCCGTTCACTATGCATCCCTTTCAGATGTTTCACAAATAGTTTTTCGTCTTCATCAAACTAATGTGATAGAACCCCATGGATTCATGCAGCGACATATGTACATATATGCATTTGGACGACCAAGCCATGGCCTTGCCGCCCCATCTCAGGAGGGTGCCATCTTCCCCAGATTCCCTCAACCAAAATCGATGTCAGCATATCTTCCCAAGTCTCCATAGTTTTCCCCATAGTTTCTCTCCATAGTTGGTCCCCAGAGTCTTCCCACAGTTTTCACATGATTTTCACATGATTTTCACATGATTTTCACATAATGTTCACATATGTTCCTGATATTTTCTCCATATCATCCGGTGACACGTCAAGGGCCCGCCAACTGCAGGTCGGTCACGGATTCAACGCAGCGTAGCCATGGACCTCCAAGCCGCCTGGCAGATGCAGGCGAAGACCATGACACAGGACAGGTGGAAAACGTTGCGTTAAACCGCTTGGGCCGGGTTGTGCAGACCTTAGATAAGTTGCAAGATATAACATCTTACAACCAAACGTGTGGAACAACAGAAAATAACCAGCAACTAATTGAAAAACAAGGAGATATTAATGTGTTTTCATGGGATATAAGCAACTGGATGGGTGTATCACATTCTAATTTTAACTTGGCATTTATGAAATGTCAAGTTTTTTTGCTTGGTCGGTTGGCTCTACGTTCTACAAGTTGGCATACTCAGCAAACTTGATGGGTGTTTAACATTCAAAGTTCTTCAGCCGTAGACGTCAAAGGCCATGTCTTACCGAGTGGATTTCAAGCGATGGTATGCTGATATCTGTGCACAGCAATATCAAAAATAACTGAAAATAAACAGCAACTTATGTTGATATTTGGTTGATAAAACAAGGCTACTGGATGTGAAAGAGATTTAACTAACAATCTATAGTGGAAGAAACAAACAAATTTACGAGTATGAAGAGACCATGAGTACTGGGTGATATTTCATTAAGTAGTGGAAGCCAACGGGGTTTAGTTGAGTGATCAGTTGCTATGAAATCTATTCATGGGACAACATGAACTTCTAATCAAGATGAATAAGTATGTTTTTGAAAGCATCCATGCTTGTGGAAGAAAAACATGCCACACACATCCACACACACAAACTAAAATTACATAGTTTTTTTTTTGGGAGCCGATCCTCAGCCTGCCTAAAATCCTCCAAATTACGCATTGGGCAGGTGCTTTTGGAGCAAATCATAGAATCACTTTGAACGAGAAGAAAATCAGAATCAACCAAAGATATATCACTAGAATCCAGCACATGTGTGTGGATAGCATAGCCTGACCCCAAACAGCAATCACTGAATATATCTATACATATCATATATCATATATCGATATACATATTAGTAGTATATCTAATTTATGTACTTTGACTAAGCACCACACTTCTCAAAATATATAAACGATATATGATATATGGCTCATCAAACTAATTTAATACAAGTACAATTATGCAGGAAGTCTCCGCCCCACCCTTGATGCGCCTGAACCGTGATCGAAGCCGCGACTCGGCGGTGGAAATTCACGGGAAGACATCTGTTTTATGCGATAATCATAGAAAATGAGAAAATGGGTAGTTTTGCAGCTAGCCAGGCGAGACTACCAAAGCGTAGCATGTTTTTGATTGGAAGATGAGGAGATTCAATGCAACGTGGTGAACTAAATACTCAACAAACAATCCTCAAAACGGAGGTCGAATAGGCATTGGAGGTTCATCATTGTGCAGTGGTGAGCGGCACAGCCAAAAGCAATTTGTCCGGCCATGTCCGGGCTTGGGACTGTTCTATCATTGGACAATGGTAGATAATGGCTATTACTAGTGGATAACCCATTGGATTGTGATATGTCAGACTCAAAACAAGATCTCTTCAAAGGGCTACCCCTTCACCATCTTTCATGAAGGCACCCTTGGTGTCCCGCTTGCATCAGGTGCTGATAACCTTTGGGAGCTCTTGGATGACCCGGACCTTTGGCCTGGGAATGAATCATCGTGGGATGGCTATACCCTTTGGCAATTTACCAGTTTATGATGGTTTAGATGGCCTGTGTATAGACTTTATACGTGATTTACCTGCTAAACCTTTAAAAAATTCGACCATACTCAGAAGGTCTCATGTCTACCCTAGGTTCTGTTCCTAGATGTTCTCGTCTCAAATTGTGATTATGTCATGCTGGTTGAAATATGTTGACATATTCTGAATGGTTGCACAATGTAGACCGGTCCGCCTACTGAGTGGATTCGGATGGAAGCAACACAAACATGTGTGAATGCTTTTAGTAACTCTCAAAAGACGATAGAAAAGTACTTTACCAGTATTTTGCTCATTATTTTAGAAGGATGTTGTGTTTCCCTCTTTTCTAGGTTTGCCCTTCATGTGTTGTACACATGCCAGTACTTGTACGTTGTTTGCTGACCCAATCCCCATTAAGAACGACACAAAGGTGCTTGATGATTCTTGAGGTTTTGAATCCGGATGGTCGGCTTAACTTCCAATTTTGTTGCTGCCAACGAGGGGATCCACACAACTGACCATCCGCTTATTTGTTGTGGCTACTGAAATTTAGATAAATTTGGTATTCACTTTGGTACTCAAAGGGTATCATCCAAATGTATCATTATCATGTGTCATTTGCTCTGATATATCCTGATATCCCAAGTTTAGTTGGTAGAAACCGCATGAAACTTGACACACCCATAAAACGAATGGTATTTCCCAATTATTCTCCCAAGTATGATATCCCAAGCAATATTTTTTTTTTAAATTGGCTCCCATTGTTATAACTTTTTTTAAAATCTTTTAAGCTATTAATCCATGGGATGGGATGGGCCTGCCATCCCAGGACTCCAGTCGGCCTGCATATTGGATCTCCCAGTTCCTCAAGGTGCCCGGTGATGTCATGGGAATAGCCTCCGGTGTCATCATGGCAATTGGAAATTCCTGGAAAAAATTGTGGGTGTTCCATTGCCACGTTTGAGTACTGGAGGGTAAGCAGACAAAGAAATCACATGGAAATTCCAACACTGTACAATATGTACCAATCACTATTTAATCTAATTGTGTATTATAGCATAAAAGATATACCCGTTGCCCAGTCTCAATCAATTTGACATTTGACCACTTCAGGATATCAAGGGTATTAAAATCCATCTCAAGAAATGGTGGTTATCATTATGTTTCCCATGCCACCCGCAACAATACGTGTGTGTACATATATATATATATATATGTGCGTGTGCGACATCATTCCATTTTCTATAGATACGGGATGCTGTACCTCAGTTCAGCACTTGTCACATCATCGGTCATGCAAATGCTGAGGGAGTTTGTACGTGGTAACTATTTTGCGGATATTATGCAAGTTCCGTTTGTGAAAGCATGCAAAATCAGTGGAGTAGATTCGTGCATCTTCTCCTGAGATGGCGATGGACAGAGAGAGAGAGATATATATATATATGTGCGTGTTCCAGCAATGCCGGGATGACAAGGGCATGGCCCAGGCCAGTAAATAGGTGATTTGATAAACCTCAAAGTTCGATGGGCAATCAAGTATTAAGTATTGATCATACTTTGGACCTTGGATACTTGTTTTACTGTATTTTGTTTGTATTTATCTACTACGTTTAACTTTTTTTATCAATAACATATCATATATAAGTATATATGTGTAACTACATAAATGCGCACATGTTATTGTATAACATGATATTTTCATTAGGGTACATACATGGATTTGCACGATCTACATACTTGGTGCACCCTGCGAGGTCTCAGTGATCGTTGGCTTGGTCATTTCACAGGTACAGACTGGCGAGGCCCAAGACATTGCGAGAGACCAACTGATGACAACTCCTTCAAAGATCATAGAGATGTGTTTAAAAACAACAATGCTATAACCCCCCAAAATGATAGAAAGCTACTTCATCACTATCTTTCATTCGGATCTTACCAAATTCCATATATCTTGGGGGTTGCTATACTGTTGTGATTCCAGGAGCCTGTGATCTCAGCCCACCTGGCGGTAGCAGTGGAAACCACCTTTGATGTGGTCTTCTTTGTGGAATTCGTCTGTCGGATTACGCCCCTTGGCCATTTTGTGTGTAAGGAAAATGCAGGTTTTAATGGGAATTTCCTAGCATGTATAAAAATGACTAAATCATTGCACACATTGTGTTTTTTTTGGCGATTTTCTCGGGAATAAATTGGGAAAATAATGGGAAGCAATCAGTTTTGCAACCAGCCACTTAAAAAATGGGCTGCTTTGAGCTGACCTATGAAGGGTGCGTGCCATCGAAAAGTGCTACTTGGTCCCACATGGTTTTAACATGCATGTATATGACCAACCACTTGCGATTCCTGAGATGCACATCCAACTATCAACGTCCTATGGGTTTTGTGAAAGTGGTGGGTGGCCCGTTTCCCTTGGTGGTGGAGTTGATTCAGTTGTCGATACTTCTCATCTGGTTTGGAAACATTCAAATCATCACAGTCAGTTCTTATATGGACCATATCTCACACAACAAGTGAAATGCTTGGTACAGACACATATGTCCATATGTCACATGAGTGCCATGTTTCGTTTGAAAGTAAACCATGACGGGATATGACGGGTGTTGGAGCGAGAATCGTATGATGGTTTTTGTTTATCAAGGTGGATGCAGACGTGTTTTGGTGAGTCGAAAAAAAAACGCTTACAAAACGGCGCCACAAATTGTGTAACTTCGTAGTGCACCGTCTCGTTTTTGGGTACCAATGGGCGGGCTTGTACTAGCTTGGGCTTTGTGCGCATAGAATCAGAATATCAATATAGTTGTGTTTGTGGACCAACAATGGCCCTTACATCCACTGCTGTTGCCAAAACAGTGGTAGAACTGTAGAACTCAAGCAAAACGCTGCATGGCGAAGGTGTTTTAGGTCGAATCTAGGAACGATGATTGCGTCTACGGGGAGCATGCCAATTCGTAAGTGGTCAAGAACCCTGTCTTTTACTGCGATGTATCCCACTTGGTTTTCTTTATCACCCATCCTGTAACAGCTGGAACGCACATGCCAGGGGTTGTTTGCTTTCCCGGCTACATCGTCCAGGACAGCACCTTCCAAACGATCCTATGCTGCTCGGAGAAATCTTGTTGACGTTCCGATGACATGAGCAACGTCCGGTTGATCCCTGTGCGGTTGATCCAAAATGTGTGATGTTCTCGGCATCAGAAAATTGAGTACAAAGTGGCCCTGAAATGATGCTTGTTATTACACTGCAGGCCACTTTTGAAGGGTGTTATGGCTGTTATGGACTCCTCCAACATGGGAGCCACTATCAGCCAACCAGTGGGTCCCGGGATGACTTGGGTAAAGGGTACTCAATACACTTGCAGGGGTCAGGGTACTGCTTTTGGTTTGCTCAATACACTTGCAGGAGCCAGGCCACAACTTAGAAGATCATGTTTGTTCGCAGTATGACTTCTAGCCGGACTGGTCGCGTTTGGTCTCAGGAATTGAATTTCACAATCTGATCAATCTGTAATTTGCTGCAAGGCGGATCTCCATAGTTGGCTAAGCTGGTTTAGAAGTAGATCAACTAGGATTCATGGTAGATGTAACATTATTTAACTGATACACACATATACATACATACATACATACATACAAACAAACAAACAAACAAACATACATACATACACACATACATACACACATACAAAAATTCACATAAACATACATACATGCATGCATGCATGTATGCATGCATGCATGCATGTATGCATGCATACATGCATACATACATGCACACCTACATACATCCATACATACATACATCCAAACATACATACATACATCCATACATGCATACATACATCCATACATCCACACATGCATGCATGCATATATGTAGACAAAAAACATACAGACATACAGACATACAGACAGACATACATGCATACATCCATACATGCATGCATACATACATACATACAATACATACACACATACAAAAAATCATATATACATACATGCATGCATGCATGCATACATGCATACATACATGCATACATACATACATCCATACATACATACATACATCCATCCATACATGCATACATACATCCATACATCCATACATGCATGCATGCATGCATATATGTAGACAAACAAACGTACAGACATACAGACATACAGACACATACATGCATACATACATGCATGCATGCATGCATACATACATCCATACATACATACATACATACACACATACAAAAATTCATATATACATACATGCATCCATACATACATGCATACATACAGACATACAGTCATACAGACATACATACAGACATGCATACATACATACGTTACATATTTACATTTGTTGAATGTGTATATATATTTATATTAGCATGATATATCTATAGTTCTTGATGTTTATAAAGCAAAGTAAATCGAAATTCTGCGCTGCGCCACGCTCTCATCCCAGGTTTTGGATCCACTGAACTGGGCGGTTCCTTGGGTCCATTTCGTCCTTGGATGACATGCATATTATATATATATGTGATAGTAGCAAGCCCAAAATAGATCGAAAAAGTGGGACACTTGGAAATATGTATTAAATATATTTAAAGATCATCTATTACCTCCTAGAAACACTTTTTTTTGGGGGGGGGATGGCTATAATGTACCTGAAGAGAGCTAGTAAATATATGTAAACATTATGTTTGAACATCAAGATCATAGAGGAGTATGGCCTTATAAGATCTATGAATCAAGGCGATTCGCTGCTGGTGAATGGGTGATTTGGAATGTCAGGAAGGGATTCCGGGCCAGGACCAAGATTTTTCAACGTTGCATCAGTGTGAATGACAGGAAGCAAACTTGGGAATCGGCTGACTCGCCGCCCTGCAACTGTCGATATTTTTGGTTCTTCATTCTGAAGATGACATGACAGAAAACCAGTTTTTTCCCCACCTGCCAGGTGAGGGTTGTTAGATTTTATGTCAGTTGCTTCCTCCTCGTCCTCCTCGTCCTCCTCGTCCTCGTCCTCGTCCTTCTCCTCCCTCTTCTCGTCCTCCTTCTCCTCCTCCTCCTCTCCTCTCTTCTCCTCTCCTCTCCTCGTTTCCTCTCCTCGTCTCCTCTCCTCCTGCTCCCTGCCGGACTTCAACCGCGACCATCCACGCCCAGTGTGCCCTGCCGGACCTCAACCACGACCATCCCCGCCCAGTGTTCCCTGCCGGACCTCAACCGCGAGTATCCCCGCCCAGTGTTCCCTGCCGGACCTCAACCACGACCATCCACGCCCAGTGTTCCCTGCCGGACCTCAACCACGACCATCCACGCCCAGTGTTCCCTGCCGGACCTCAACCGCGAGTATCCACGCCAAGTGTTCCCTGCCGGACCTCATGTAGGAAGATATGGGACAAAGAATGTGCAGAAGAAAGTTAGAAAGAATGTCAGAAAGAATGTCAGAAGATATGCCAGAAGATATGCCAGAAGATATGCCAGATAGAATGCCAGATAATATGCCAGAAGATATGCCAGATAGAATGCCAGATAGAATGCCAGAAGATTTGCCAGATAGAATGCCAGAAAATATGCCAGAAGATATGCCAGATAGATATGCCAGAAGATATGCCAGAAGATATGCCAGAAGATATGTCAGAATATATGCCAGAAGATATGTCAGATAGAATGCCCGAAGATATGTCAGAATATATGCCAGAAGATATGCCAGATTGAATGCCAGATTGAATGCCAGAAGATATGTCAGATAGAATGCCAGAAGATATGCCAGATAGAATGCCAGAAGATTTGCCAGATAGAATGCCAGAAGATATGCCATATCATATGCCAGAAGATATGCCAGATAGAATGCCAAATAGAATGTCAGAAGATATGTCAGATAGAATGCCAGAAGATTTGCCAGTAAGAAAATCTATAAATGTCATGGTGGGGATCACACGAAGTAAAGTAATTTTAATGCTTTTTACATTTTTCATTTTTGGAAGGCATTTAGAGTTAGAGTATCATTTTGTACTGCTTGAGCCAATTCAATATGAAAAACATGATTTTTCGTGCGGGCGAAATGGTCATTTTCTTTAAACACGCCGAGAAAAAAGTTTGGAAATGCCTGTTGATGCAGGAAATCCCACGCCCAAACGGCTTAGAAGCATCTTTCTCAACTCTGCCACAAGCATTTGGGAAGTTCTTCCAAAATGGAACTTGTGATGGAAGCATTTTGCCTCCACTGGAAGCTTCGCGCCCACTTCCAACGATTTTCGTTGGTTCCTCCATGGGATTTGTCTTTTTGGGCAAAAGCGATTGGCTTCCATTGTTTCAAGTTGTTGTTTTTTTTGGGTATGCGCAAACGTAACAACATATTCTATCAACGTAACATCAAACTTATGTTCGCCCACGTAAACAACATGTGCAAGCGTAGCAACATATTCTATGAACGTAGCATCGTTCGCACACGTTAACAGCATGTGCAAGCGTAGCAGCATTTTTTACGGTAGCATGCCACAGGACGTTATTATTCCCACCCCACCCCACCCCATCTCTAACGTAGCATATCGTAGCATCATGTAGGTGTGCAAGTACGAAGGAACGCTATTAGCCCCATCCCATCCCACCCCACCCATCTCTAATGTAGCATCATGTAGGTGTGCAAGTGCCAAGGAACGCTATTAACCCCATCCCATCCCACCCCACCTCTAACGTAGCATCATGTAGGTGTGCAATGGTGTGCAAGTGCCAAGGAACGTTTTTGGCCCCACCACACCCTACCCCACCGTATACCGTGACCGAATCATACCTTGCACAACATCGAAGTATACGACAGCAAAAAGTAACAACCCTTCTGGGACGGGGAGTCAGCCGATAGCCGCAAACTTCTAGCAACAGAAAACGGGCAGACCTGTTTTGAAGACCTCATTGGTTTTGACCTCCTTGGCTTTCGTTTTCCTTTCTTGTCAAGCCATTGTTGGATGAATGGACTTTGATGCTTGCGTTTCGAAACCTGCACGGTTGAACCGGCGTAGTGATGTTCATCTGATTTTGACATTGAAGGAATGCGGCGCCCTCAACTCAAAAAAAATCAGACGGCGTTGGTCCCGGGAATCATCCAATTAAAAATCATCTTGAGGTGGAAAACCGATGGGTTTAGGGCAGCTCTTCCAAGAAAGGCCCGCAGCAGTGCTGAGGACCTCTTTTCCGCTGCGGGTCTTCCGCTCCGCGCATCGGTGGGTTTCCTGGTCTACCCCGCACTACAGGAGAAGCGTCGCTCGACCGTGGACGTGGGGTCGCGTTTGGTGGGACGCCCAATCACAAACCCAAAATGACGATTTTAGCGATGAAAAAAATGATGTACATTGCAATCAGGGGATAACCTGTTTTCGATCATTTTCAGGTTTGTTCATTTGTAATTTTCCCACATGGTAGAATTGGGTCGGTTGCGTTATTTTATGTTGGGTTTCCTGCCTTACTGTAGCTGCTGGTTGGGCCAGACGAGTTGGGGTGAATTTTGAGTTTGGCATGGTGTGGCGCTTAGGAAATGTCCAGCTGATTCTTCTGCTCTTTCTCCCCATCCTTCGTTTCTTGAAACTCCTGCGGTATTTCGACACTCGGCCATGCTGACGGATGTGGCGATGTAGCTATGGTCATGCAGACAGGCAAGTATATAGATTGTCACGGATGGTGTTAGAACAGGTTAGAACAGTTCTTGCATGCTATGTCAGTTGATATTGGGGAAAATGGCAGTGCATGGTGTTAGATATGATGTGCTATACAACTGCTACATTCTACTAAGTTTCTTGTCATGTTAAGGAAAACTTCTTGCAGGAAGCCTGGTTGATGAACACCGCACTGATTCCAACGCTGGCACCAAAAGACATCGGTGACAAAGAGTATTGCTTGGCATGCGCTGATTCCTAGTCTCTACATGCGGCATTTGTGCATGCTATCCTTTTTGATCCTTTTTGTGTGTTTGATCGAAAGTCTAAACTCTATATAAACAAATTTCCCCTCAGCGTTTTCATAAAACGTAACGCCTCTGTTCCATGGAGTGTCATTTTATGAGTTATAATATATTTTACCGCTATATGATTTACCTTCTGGGCACAAAAATATGGCACGCCAAAACCTCAATTTTATTGCCCTCCAGGAAACCTTTCGTTTATTGATCCACGCTGCTCGCAATGCCATGGCAGCGCTACCGGTGCTCTTCTACATCATGGTGGTCATTACCTTGGTGGTCCCCACCTGAGTTTGTCTAAACGTGGCATGTGGCATGTGGTAGTAAATGCACACTGATTTGCTGATACAATTTTATACTTCAGGGTGATATATAGTGATATACATATATATGGACATGTATACATATATATATATATATGTGCATACACATATAACATAGACCCGGGCAAGCCGGCGGCGGAAGTTTCCCAAACATAAATGACCTATAGTTCAAAGACAACCTGTCCCGACCGTGTCCTTCCGTCGACACTCCACACCTCACACTGCACACTGCACTCTTCGCACTCCAAACTTCAAACTTCACACTCCACACTTCACACTTCTCACTTCTCACTGCTTCCTTCACACTCCAAACCTCACACTTCACACTTCACACTTCACACTGCGCTCTTCGCACTCCAAACTGAAACTTCACACTCCACACTTCACACTCCACACTTCTCACTTCTCACTTCCCACTGCTTCCTGCACACTTCACACTTCACACTGCACTCTTCACGCCCCACACTTCACACTGCTCTAAACCTACGTGCAACAAAAAAACACTAGTGCCAAAATGGAGAAAATCTGCTAACAAATCCAGGTCGCAGCTTTCATGCAGCCACTCCAAGACGATTTCCGAGATCCAGCTGCAAAAGACATTAGTATTACGAATGCAGCCACAGCACGAAGCAACCTTGACGCAGCCATTACAATGCGATCTGCAGAGACTGAGTTGCAAAACACAATAGAACTACGCGCAACGGCGTCGGAAATTGTAGCTCCAAAACCGGAT